TAGGTTTTCTTGATAAAGCAGTTCAGAGGCTTGTTTAAAAACAGTCGTTTTAAATGCCAAAATAAATGGATTACCTTGGTCTAGTGTCTAGCTTGATGTGTGCACTGGTTCTGGCACTCCATGTTTAGCCCTGATTTGGGGAAGAAACAGGGCATTCCCAACACCACTTTGGTGCTTCCCAGGTGTTGGGCTGGCCATGGCTTTGCTCAGTTACTGGGAGCAGTTAGAGGTACTTTGGTTCCACTCTGGCTGTGCTGTGCTGCAGGTCCCGCAGCTGAGAGGGGAAGGGGAGAACTTCTCTGGCCTCCCAGCGCGAGCTCTTCTGAGCAAGGAGAGATGGTTAGCCACAGACTGCAGGTCTGCATGCCTACTCAACGGTGTATTGTACAAATAAAGGACTCATAGTACCTACCTGCACTCCCATTTTTAATGTAACACATGCACAGTTATGTATACTGAACACAGGTTAGTTTAATTAAAAAAAAACATGGTAGCTTAATAAATTTGGATGATCATCATCTTGAAGCTTAAGTTTATAAATGCTGTGGAATCCAGGGTTTGTTTTAAGCCATTACATACCAAACAACATCTTTCAGTAATGTACCCAGGATGAATTTCAAAGTCTGTAACTTTGCTGTAGGGAAATTCTGTACCAATATCTGCTTGTGGTTTTAAGCAGTAATTGTTGTTGAACTTGCAACATTTTTATAAGTCTGAAAATCTTTAAACCAACGTAGAGCACACTTGACCAAGGACAGTGTTGTGTATTTCTGAACAGGATCTGTACTAGTGCAAATGTTGAGCGCTGTAGTAATTAACTTCCGTTGGCATGTGTGTTCCAGTTAAACGGATTGAATAGGTCTGCACCAGTACAGATGTTGCATGCTGTAGGTTGGAGTTTGCAGCAAAGCATGTCTTGCATTCTTCCAGCAAAAGTGCTTTGTTAGTGTAGCCTCTGCATGTTGAAGTGCTAAACGAAGGTATAGCATGTCTCAGTTACGAGCCACCAGCTTATCTAATGTGCATGTTCTCAGTAAGAGATCTATAATAACAGGTTAATTTTACATTACAGTACTGAAGTGCAACAGAAAACACTTGGAAGTTGCACTGCAAATCATACATTAATTGATGCTATCTTGAACATAGTTAATCTAAGCCTTAAAAATTGACTAGTGCACAGAGGTACACCACATTCTTCTAGCACAGCAGGGATCTTGGCTCACCTTCTGCCTCTAAGCAGTGCAGTAATAGAAATATTAGTAATAATTTCAAGGGACAGGCTGCTTTTCTGCTGAAAAAAAAAAAAAATTACTGAAGGTGGTCAGCTAGTCATTTGTGAGCGTTTCAGTTCACTGTAGCAGTCCTCCTATGTTTCTTATAAGGAAAGGATGATCTGGACTTACCCAGCAGGTAGCACTGTAATACATCGTCACCCACTGGGGCCGCGCAGAGGCTCACTGCTGCCGTCTGACCGTGCTGAGGCCCCACTCCCCAGATGTCAGCAGAGTCTTTTAGATACCAGCTTGTGTAGAGGCAAAATTTCCCTATAGAAAACAGGCATTTAGGCTCAGCACAGACCTACCCAGGTAGAAATTCAGAACCAGTGGTGCTGCTTGCTGCCTTGCCCCTTCCTCAGCCTGGGGACCAGAGCACTTCTGGGCACCTGGGAGAGCTGTACCCCTCCACCAGACTTGGATTTCAGGGGAGTGCTGTGGCCCCTTGCATGTAGCTCTTCAGGCTCTGAAAAGGGCATGTGCATTTGGACTAGCAGAGCCCTCGGTCTTTCCATACATGATATTCTCAAACAGTTGGGTGGAGTTAAGGTAATTAGCAAAGGTCTGACCTGCATATTTGTTAGTGTGATTTATTAATTGACTCCTGTTTCCCCTAATTTCACAAATAAAGAGAATGCCTTTGACTCAGCTAAAACAAAGAGTTAAAGGCAGCCAGCTCCCTTTTGACTGTGATTCTGAGTAATAGTACATGCAGAAAAATAAATAAATAAAACAGTGAAATGGAGGTGGATTTATAGAGGTCAGTTTATAGCATTCATTGTATCCTTCTATCAGCAGGCTGGTGCAAGAACCAAAAGAGGATGTGTGAGTGGAAGTCTATGTACAGAAGCTACAAACTGGCATTGCTGCTGCTTAGCTCTCCCAGCATCTTTCACACTCTATATTTACTTAGGCTTTGTTAAATTAATTCACTCTTAGTTGGATTCTGTTACACAGACTTGCAGCTCTGACACGATTCTTTGTACCATACCTTCCTTACTTGTCCTTTCAAGTTTTTGCTATGTCAGTTGGGCATGTACATACTTTGCTAAAGCCCCTTAATTTCAGCTGCGTTCTACTCTTTCTAGGAGGGACCTCCCCTTGCAGTAGCAGAGGGAAGGCACGTGGCAAAGGGGTCACGCTGCAGAAGGGAGCCCCCTGCAAAAGGAGGCAGAGCCAAGCTGCCCCAGGCTCAGCTGGGCACCTGCCTTCAGGTTTAGGGGCAGCACGGGAAGTCCCTGTGGATTTGCTTTGGCTCTTTTGTAGAGAGCCTTCGCTGACATGCAGCCAGTTTGTTAGCCTGAGCAAAGCATTGCTGCTACTCCAGCATGGACACAGAATTCTGTTTTACTTGATGGGATTGAAATGAGTTCTTCCTCTTCATCCTTTGAATTTAATTTTTAATTATTTCAGCTTTCAGGGATGATTTAGTTCTTATGCTGGCAAGTGCTAGAGGAGGTAATGTACTGCATGCATTTTATAAAGTTGACAACTGAAGCATCAGGCCACATCTAGGGAGAATGACTCTCCCACATTGTAGGTTCATCTCCCTTGGCACGCAATGTCCTCCACTGCTGCCTAGGAGAAAACATGAATCTACTACCAACAACATGCTAGAAAACACAGCCTCTAGCAGCTGGAGTAAGTGTGAAGTAAATTACCTTTCTTCACTCCCATACCGGTTCTTCTACTCTCATATAAACACTTTCTTATGTGAGATTCTATATGAACATCAAGCTGCCCTTGTAAGTTTGACTGACTGATTTTCCTCTACTGCGCTGGGCACAGCATCAAGTTGTCCCTGCTTCAGCGATGTATGGAGAAAAGAGGTCAACATGAAAAAGCCCCTTTGCTGTAACAGCTGGAATAGCAGGCGGCTGCAAAAGCAGTTAATGAGCAGCAGTCCAGAAAACCTCCAAGCCATTAAACAGGCCAATACCAGAATGAAGTACAGCTGTAGTTACAAACATCAGGAAAAAACAATAGCTGGAAAGAAGTGTATCTTTCCAAATGTGTTTTGTCTGATTTCTAGTGGCCCATTCTTGCACTTCCAACTGTTTATGGTGTCAGGAACATATTACTCTCCTGTCATTTCTCTGGGAGCTGGCTCTTTTGCACCGGAGGTTAGAGTGAGGAATCATTTTGATTTTTCTGTCCTGAAAGAGTTGGAATAGAAGTGTTATATAGCTCCTCTTTGTTTTTTCAGAGTGAAAGAATTGAAAAAGGCCAAGGAACTTGAAGATACGCAGCAGCATCCCGTAGCAATGTGACATTGCTTTTCAGACTGTTTCCATTTTCTGTTTTTAGCAGAGACATGCAACAACAACAACAAAAATACCCACTGCAGTTCTGGAAATACCAGCTGCAGGATTTTAACAGTAATGTTTTGGTCATTGCATTTGCACTTTCATGGACAACTTTTAATTTGTTCAGCAAGACATCTTGGAACTCAATCTTCTGTTGGATCATGGGGAAAACAAAAGACACCAGGAGGAAATTGTGAGTTGCTTCATTCTCCGAGAAGGAAGAAGCGATTAATTATCCTTTTCATATAGGGCTGTATTAAACAACATGTGGAACTGTACAAATATTATACCAAAAATATTGTTAAGAAAAGGTGGGAATGCACAAGCAACACAAGAATGCTGTTCCTGCACCTGTCAGTCATCTCCAAGAAACTGAAGCTTTGAGAGTCTCAGTGGAGGGGCTTAGATCAGTACATCTTTATTGGGTCCATGCATCCTCATTTCCTTCGCACTTCTGTCTTTTGTGTTTTATTTAAATCTCTACAGCACACTTAATGCAACTTTTTAAATCTGCAGGTTTTTAATACATCCCGTGGGAACTTACAGAAGGGGTTGGTGTATGAGATAAACGGGTAATGCATGAGGAACGGAGAGAGCAGCTTAAGCAAGTTTTAAAAAGTTTTTTTGGTATTTTTACTAGAACCTGCAAACATATCAATTGTCATGTACTTTCATATTCAGCACTTTATTTTCTAGCCTTACTTTCATGTACTATTATTTTAAATAAGTTCTTAAAATAATTTGTCAAATGTAGCTTTTTATTTTAAGTACTTGTCAAACCTCTTGTCATTTTGCAGAGTCACATACATATGTTGCCTGGACATTTTATACCACCTAAAGATCAGAGTGGTGCTGCATTCTGGCCAGTAAATTTCTTATTTTGGCTACTTCATCAAAATCTGGGCAGTTTCTGTATATATAGAAGGTAGAAATGGAAAATGAGAAAAAATATTTGAAAGGGAATATATTGATTAATTACTAAATATTTTATTCACAAAGGGTCAAAAACTTGGCAAGATAAAATTATTATTTGTATAGTTTTGTCTGAATGAACGAGAAGAGTGTGGATGTATTGTTTGTACATATTGTATATATTAAAACAAAGAGATATGTGCATGAACTCAAGAAAAAGAAATGAACAAAGCAAAGCATTAGTGGCTATGGTCTGTAAAATGAAACAAAAACTTTATTTCACTATAAGAAACTTTATTTTAAATGTTCTTTAGAAGAACATTTTTGCTAAAGCATGACTAAATGGCAAAAAAGAGCTACTGTATTTAGACTTAGGAAAAAAAGGCAGAGCAACGTTACTTTAAAAAAAAAAAAAAAAAGGAAAAAAAAAAAGGATATGTTTACATTTGATTTTGGCTACCAGGAGTTTGGTTTGGTTGGATTTAATTTATTTATTCCTTCCTTCTTATTTTTTTTTCCCCGTCTTTTTTTTACTTTTTTTTTGCCAATGGTGCCAAGTAATGTGAATGCTAATATTGCTTAAGAAAATTAAGTTACTTTTGCAAAGCAGATAATCATAAGAGTACAAAAACCGTATCTAGCTTAACACCATACACTCACTCCAATAAAGAACACTTAGAATGAACATAAAATGGAAAAAAAAAAAAAAAATAGTACAAAAGTAGAAAATATGTTTCACATTTTCATATCTCCTGCTGGAAGTCAGAAAATGTAATAAAAATTGCACAAAAAATTAAAAAAAAATTAAGTAAAACTTAAAAAAAGATGCAAACTGATCTTGTAGGGGTGTCATGGTATATTGCTATTTCCACATAGTGAGGAGCCAAAGAAATTAGGTTTTTTTAAATTGAACTACTAATTTAAAACTGTCACAAATTCTTGACAATGGGAACCAGGTTCTGATCTTTATTACACAGGAATGTAAGGGAAGAAACTCTTGAAGTCCATGTTGTTACTGTGGGTTATGTACGTGTGTCTGAGATCAGAAACTGCTCCTGTGTGTTTGTTTTGCTCATGGCAGTTTAAAATTTCTGAATGGACTGGTGTAAATTTGAGATAGTTAGTTTTGGAATAGTTGTTCTTGCTTGATCCCGGCCACCAACTGCAGTGTTTAAACGCAAGGCTTGTTGTGAAGCCTAAAAATATTCACACGTAAGAAGCTTTTAAACTGGTGTCTTTAAAAGAAGAGTAAAAACAAAGATTGTGGCAAAAAAACTGGGGTCAGTGCTCTTGGTGCCTTTTCTATAATTGTACCTGTTTTTAATTACTTCTTTTCACTGCCAGCATTGAATTACAGTAGATGTGCTATAGCTCATTATCAGAATTCTCTTGTACATTTCTGAACTGCTGCTTTATGACCTGATTCAATTTAAAAAAAGGGAAAAAAGCAAAATGAATGGCCTGGTGCTCACACTGTGCCTGTGGGCAGCCTCATAGCCTCAATTTACTGTATGGAATTGGGACCTTAATCGCTAAATTTTCCTCTCGTGCAAAAACAGAACAGGAGATGCTGAAGAATCTCCTTTGGAATGAATTGGAAATGCTCTGTATTAATACTGGAAGAACTCTGACGTTTTGAAACGGAAACGTTGCTTCCATTAACCAATACGTGACAATATAGAATCGTCCTTTTCCTAGCAAGAGTAGTGACCTCAGTGGAAATGTTTTAACTCCCTGTCTTTACAGAAAAAGATTCAGTAATATACAGAGCTATTTCAAATTACTCTTCCAGATCCATGGGCCTGGTGGTGTATCTACTAATCTAGATCCTGCTTCAGCCAAACGTTTAAGCATGTACTTGCTGTTAAACATGCAAGCAATTCCACGGGCGCAACAGAACTACTTGCGTGCTTGAAGCTAAGTACAGCTCCTGAGTGCTTTGTTGTGTCGGGTCATAACCCTTCAGTGTATCACTGGGGAGTTAGAAAGACTCCCCCTGCAGTGAAGTGATTCTGCTCACCCTTTTCTTGGTTGTGGAACTTACATTTTCATGGAAGATAAGTAAGTGCAGCTTTCCGGGAAAATTCGCGTTCCCAAGTGCCAGGAGCCAGATCTTCTGTCTTCTGATAATGGAATTGCTCCTTTGTGAAACACATTCGACAGCAGTAATACTGTGTGAAAGAAATACAGAATATAACATGAACCCCCTCTCTGGTTGCACGCTTATGGCAGTTCCACACAATAGCTGGTGCCCAATGGGGGGTCCCCAAGACTTGCATGTAAAACTAGTATAGATGTCTTCTCTTTTGTAAGTTTTATTTTTGTAACCGTGCATGTAAAGCATCACTGAATCAATGGATCTGTTGAAGAACTCAGCTGCTGGAACCATGCAAAATGTTTTGAATTGCCCTTAAAATATGGAAAATGTTTTCTGAATGCTTTATATTCTTTCTGCTGTAAATTAAAAACAAAGAAAATTTCCCCATACAAAGTGTGCGCCTTTTTTTAAACACGTCTCTTCCATCCCAGTTTAAGAGAGTGATGTGCTCCTTCAGTCACTCGAAGTAACCATGAAAAAAACGTGTTTCTTCTCCTACATGACCTGCTAGTATGTAGCATCTAGTTTTTTACGGGTTATAATCTAAACAGTCCGGAGCCTACCCATGAGCGGGTGCGCAGCCCCTGGAGCATGGTGGGATTTGCTAAAGGCAACACCACAGTTCCTGATCTGCAGCCCTTCCTGCTGCTGTGTTCCGGTGTGCAACCTTCACCCGGTATGTTAAGCAGCACGTTTGAGAGGAACTCTTTTACTTCTCAGGCAGCAAACTCTTCCGGGTCTCGTGCTGAAGGGTGCTGTTGCCCAGAGTGCTCTGCAGCTGCCCCGCATGGCAGTGCCAGCCCAGTCCTTCTCCAGTTCAGAGGCCAGCCCTGAGCCCCATGACATTGTTCAGTGCTACTGTCTGGGAGCTGAGGCCCTGCCGGCGGCTCCCGCGCTGGCAGCTGCTAGACAAAAGCTGTACATGCCAGCTACTCTGCCAGATTCTCCCCACGAGGCCCTCACCCCAAGAAGAAACTTTTCCTCTTGAATGTTGTCCCCGCTCGTTCACCACAAAGGAAACGACAGGCACTGGGTACCAACCTACCCATAATAGCCAAGCTGCAAATTACAGGTTTTGCCAAGATGACTGCAACTACACAAAAGCATCAAAAATCCATTTGTCCTTAAACTACAAGTTCTGCCCAGCTGCAGCTAGCAGCCTGGTTTGGTGGAAAGGCAATATGCTGTAGTTTTTTAAATTTGGAAGTGTTTTGTGAAATTATATAAGGCAACATAATACTGCATATTTGTAAATATTTCACCATCCCTTAGATGGCACCAATTCTGATTAGGTTTTCTAACACAACTTAAAGCAGTTCTATAGAGTAGTATAAACATGGCAGTTACATACTCATCTGTGGATGACTAGCTTTTCTGCGATCAAATTATTTTCAGTTCTTCTTCAGTAGACAATCACTTCCATGGCAGGGTGTCTGGGCTTTTCATGAGAAACCATGCACACCTACTAGTAGAATGCTAAACCCTACAACATGCACAAATCAGAGGTGAACCTTGGTAGAATTTAAGATGTCTGCTGATGCAGAAACCTAAGAGGTCATACTTAACAATAATACTAATAACTGAGACTTAGTAACTATTGCACTGAACAGACATGCAAGTTACATGAATCAGCCCCCAATAATGCAACTTTTGTACCTGACTTCAAGGCTAGCCTAGCAGGGGAAAACAGCTTTATTAAACTATTGTGAAAGTCCGTGGAAGACTATGCTCGTACTATAAGGTCTTCCAGAACCCAGGACCATGATAGAAGGTGAAATTTCATTAAGAGAGTTTCTTCTGGACTACAGAGAAACAAGTTTAATTATGTTTCTCTTTAAAAAGAAATCAGCACTTAACTCCACTGCTTGCTCACAGATACTTCCTTGATTTTCCATTTTAGATACCTGTTAATTGCTGGGTTCTACTTTAGTATCACGGCGGGTTGACCCTGGCCAGAAAGTAAGCACCTGGCAGCTGCTTGCTCATTCCAGTGGCATGGAAGAAGAGAATTTGTGAGAAAAAAATGCATGAGGTGAGATAAAGATAGTTTATTAAGGGAAGAAAGGAAACTAACAAAAGTAAGAACAAGTGATGCAGTCACTACCTCCCACCAGCAGCCCACTATCTTAGACAGACCACCACTATGCCACCCCGCCTTATTGCTGAGGATGAGGTTATCTGGCGTGGAATAACCCTTCGGTCTGTTTGGCACAGCTGTCCCCATCCAGGCTCTCGCCCAGCCCCGGCTCCTCGCTGCAGGGGCTGTGTGAGAAACAGAGAAGGCCTTGATGCCACGCAAGCACTGTTCAGCAACAGCCAAAACATCAATGTGTTATCAACACTGTTTTGGTCACAAAACAAAAAGACAGCACCATACACGTGATGGAGACCATCAATGCCATCCCAGCCAGACCCCATTCAGACGTAACCCCGCTGGGTCTCTGAGAAATGAGCCCAGGTGTACTTCGGGGCTTAGGTCACACCAAGAGCCCTTCACAACCAGCAAGAGGGATAAGAACAAACCTACCTCCCTTGGCAGGTCTTCACCCTTCAGCATCTTCCACTTGCCTGCAGGTGTAGCTAGGCACACGCTGGTGTGATTTAAAAAAAAGGCAAAAAAACCAAACAAACAGCATGCATACTTTTCCCACTGTATAAGCACAATGACATCTCAAAAGCACCACATGGACCCAGCGGTTCAGGCCAAGTGTTTGCTAGTAAGGCAGGTTAATCGCGCCACTCCCGAGCGCGCTGGCACAGAGAGCTGGGGTCCCGCACGCCCCAAAACACACACCCAGGGGCACTAACAGAGGGGAGGCGGCCGGGGCGTGCACCCACGCACGACACCTGCGCACCACCGCCACGTACTCCGGACTGTCCCCCACCCGCCTGCCACGCACGGGGGGCACGGTGCGGGACAGCCGCCCCGCTCCCCGTCCCGCCGGGCCCACGCCCGCCGCCATCACCGGGTGGCCTGGCCCGCGCTCCCTCGCTCATGGTCACGTGTGAACACCCGCCCGCGCGGGGCCGGCTCCCCTCAGGGCGCTATGGGACAAAACGGGAGGGGGTGGGGGGGCGAGTGACAAACTCCTCCCGCCCCGCCCCGGGCACCCACACCCGCACCCACGCACCCCGTCCCGCGGCGCCTGACGCGGCGGTGACAGCCCCCCACACTCCCCTCGCTGTCCCCTCCCTGCTCCGGGCCACGCCCACTCGGGGGCGTGCTTCCCCGCGTGCCCCCCGCTGGAGGCGTGGTCCAAGGCCCCGCCCCGCCCCAGGCCCCGCCCCGCCGTCACGACCTGAGCGCCGCCGGGACTACGGGCGGTTCCCTCGGGGCTACCTCTGTCGCGCTCTCTCGGTTGGGGCTGCCTCGGTCGCGCTGTCCCCGGAGCCGCCCGACGCTCGCCGGCACGATGTGAGTGCGGGTCGCGGCGCGCCTCGAGGCGACGCGGGCGCTCGGGGAGGCCGGGGAGCGGCGGCGGGCCCAGGCCGGCCTGGGCGGGAGGTGGCGGCGGGAGCAGGCCCGGCCCGGCCCGGCCCGGCTCGCCGGGGACTTCCGGGAGCGGCCGGGGGCTTCCGGGAGCGGCCGGGGGCGGGAGGCCGAGCCCGGCCCTCGCTAGGGCCGCACGCCCGAGGCCGTTGCTCGGGCCGGGTACCGGAGCGTTTGGCTTCTGCGGGGGCGGGCTGTCCTGTCCAGGCGGCTCCGCGGTAACCGCGGGCGTCTCTGAAAGCGCTGCTCGTGTAGCTGGAGCACAGAGACAGCGTTTTCTAGTGACTCGTTTGTCGTTTGGAATCTCTGCTCTCAGGAAGAGGTGTCACTTCCGCAACTCTTCAGTCTGGGACCAGCAGTGAACTAGGATGAAAGGGCGACTTCAGTGCCAAAACACAGACAGTTACATTGTATTGTGCTCTTGAGCTTCGTATAGGCTTCCGGGCTTGCTCGTTGTGCGTGTTTACATTTGTTCTCGCTAAATGCAAATTAGAAGTCAGTGTGCAAACATGGAAATACAGGCAATACTCAGATTCTGCACTTCTGAGTATCGGGATGCACTGAACAGTACATGCTTCTGATGCAGAAGAAATGAAACCATGGAAAGGCAAATTGAGTACAGATAATTCCGAAGATATGCAACAAAGACTTCACATAGCAGTGAAAAGGGTATGGGAAATGTGTACAGAAGCTCTTGCATCCACTACAACGATGCAGAGTGTTGCAGCTGGTAAAAAGAACTCGACTGCCTGAGGTTATGAATTCAAAGCTGAGCAGAGGTAAATTGTTGTGTATGCTGTGTGCTTTTTCCTTGTGCTTTCTCTTTCTCCATGTCAGCTGTTCCAAAGGAATAGAGTCAGAGGCAACCACTGGAAGAGCACGTAGTTAGAATAACCATTAGATTTCTGTAGTTAATTTTTTTTGTAAACTACTGTAGCTTGAAGATTCGTGTTTGTGTTCATATTGGAAAACAAAAACACCCCTGAGCCCAAATTCTTGAATGTTTGAGCCCTATGAACTGTTGTAGGAGTTATCATATGCCTTACTGTAAACTGTAGTATTAGCAAACCACTGCTGTCTTTTAGCATGTCAGACAATTTGTTGGCAAGATATTTGGGACACTGCATGAGTTATACCTGTTGTCAGCTGTTAAAACATCGCTTCCCTCTCCAGTAGGAAAATGCCCCATATTTATTCCAAGGCTACAAGTTCCCTGTTTTCAGGAATGTCAGATAACTTGCGTAGTCTAAGCATATCCACTTAAAGCCAAAAACACAGCATATCAAAAGCTAAACAGAGTAACGATTACTTTTTTTTACTGCAGGTCAGCCAATATCCCTGGAAACTCAAATGTGGCTGCTAGTAGTAATCGTCGTCTTCAGCAGACTCAACACCAAGTAGATGAGGTAAAAGTATAGTCTGATATCAGGGTAATCATTTTCCTTCATGAAACCTATATAGCTAGAAGCAGTTTCCCCTTCATTCGTTGTAGGAAGGGGAAGCCTAGTATCATTCAGCTTGCTTTATTATACTTGTGTCATCTTGGAAAGGTTAACAATAATCCATTCAGCTGTAGTGGGGAAGTAGGAGTTACCAGTGTCCAAACATTAGCTGCAAGCTTGGTGCTTGAGGATTTGACATAAGTAAAGATAAACACCTTTGTTCATACAAAGAACAAGCTTTTCTCTCATCAGTAGCAATGAAGGCTGAATGGCAAATAGGACATGTCCATAATTCTGAGGAGTCTAAAAGCCAGGCTGGCTACTGACAGTATTTTTTGACATGTGGCTGACTATCATGTTTATATGCCTCAGTTCTTCCTGAAGTGAGTCAGGAATTATTTCCCAGGCTTAAAGGAGTGCCCGCACAGCATAGCTGACACTACTGACATTCTAAAGTAGGTACTAGGGGCTTCCAGCCACAAGAGAATTTCATGGTTTTGTTGAAGTTTATGACTGGGTATACTAAAAGGCAATAGCTCCTATTTCTGAGAAAACATCGAGTACGAAGTTACATAGTGGGTGATACAACTGATAACTTACTGTAAGCATTAAACTGATATAGGTGGTTGACATCATGAGAGTGAATGTGGACAAGGTGTTGGAGCGAGATCAGAAGCTGTCAGAGTTGGATGACCGTGCTGATGCACTGCAAGCAGGAGCTTCCCAGTTTGAGACCAGTGCAGCCAAGCTGAAAAGAAAGTATTGGTGGAAGAACTGTAAGGTAACCATGGCTTGTATACCTACACTATACAGTATTGCAGTTATCACTATTACAATTGGTATCTCAAAAAAGCAGAAGTAAAAGTGACTTTAGCCAATGTTAAATATTTAAGTTATAGCTTTTTTTTTTTTTTTAAAATGTGGCATGGTGGTTAGGTGAAGTAACCAAAAGCTGGATTACCAACTGTGCTGCTTGATGCAAGACCTTGTCTAAGATGGCAATGGCCAGAGGGAAACACCTCAGTAATCTGATGCTTTGGGGAACAGGAAGAAAAGACAAAAGTGCATAGGTTGAGTTAATGTGCAGGAAGTTAAGCAGAAGGAGCTCACTCAGACTGCTGTACCTAGAGCTGTTGGCAAAGGTTGGAATCATCTTTGAGCAACAAAAACAGTGAAAGGTGTGTTACAGGGCAAGAGCAGAAATTATGTTTAATAGTTCTTTACTTCTGCTTGCATAGTCACCTGAGACAGGCTTTGCATGGAGGCACGATGGAAAATAACTTGTTGGTCTGCTTTGCTTGTGTGCACAGCCTACCATCTCTGAGCGGTAATGGTGAAACAAGCTTGCTTACTGAAGAAGTTTGACATGTTTTACACAGTGCAAAAGTACCTTGCAGGGGCTGCTTTCCTCTACCCTAAAGGCCAGTTAATGCTGCTGCATGGTTTGTCTTAAGTGTTGTATGGCTTTTTCCACAGATGTGGGCAATATTGATAACTGTTGTTCTCCTTGTCATCATCATCATCATTATTCTGGGTAAGTTTCACAAAAATGGGGATTCCTCATAGGGTTGGAATAGATGGTGTTAACTGGTTGACTGGTGAATAGCAGTGACTGCTTTAAAAACTGTTGCCTGCAATAAGTGGTAAACTGTGACCACTGTGGGAGTTCCAATACATGAATCGCAAACACTTGTGCAGAGTGAAACAGGTGAAAGTACCAAGGACTTAGAAACCAGGAACAGCCTTTTTACAGCTGCATGTGATAAAAGTATCAGGAGAAACACCATATGCTTCCCTTCTGAGAACTGTTCTTCATCTGCCTCAGCTTCTTGCTGGATGAGGCCTTTTCAGCGTGGCAGTTCCAAGGGCACTGCCATAGTGGGTAGGCTTTTTGCAAGTAGAGTCTTTGATGATGTTGGGTCAGGATAGTGAGACAGGGAATATACAGTTCAGTCTTTGGTTTGAGTTCTCATGTAATGGCCAAGGATTTCATGAGAGGACAAGGTTTTAAGTTTGTGCTGTAATACAGTAACAAACATCGCAGTAACCATTAGCAAGAGATATATATTCCTGGGTGAGAAATAATCAGTGTGTAAACACAATGGAAACTAAACCTAGGAAAAACAACGAGGGAAACTATTAAATCCCTCTTTACCTGTCTCTAGCATCTTAAATTCTTAAAATGCAGGATTGTTACAGTGAGGGGCTGAAGGAGACTGTCCTTTGTCCAACTTTTTTCTTCCTTTTGTAGTGTGGAATGTGCCTTCATGAGTTACAGGAAGAGACAGATCAACTGAAGGTGCCCATCTTCAGCCTCTCCACTCGAAACCTGCAGTGTTTTCAGCCCATTTACTGCTGTTTAAAGCAAAACTATTTTGATTACTGAAATGTTAACTAACTTTACCTCGTTGCCTTAAGACACTCCTATCATTAATTACTAACAAGCACAGCCCACCACTTGCGCAGTGCCTTAATAAACTGGGGCAGAGAGCGGGCAAGGAGGCGTTGGCTCTAGAATTTCCGCGGCTGATGCAGTGAGGGGTCACGGACTCGGCGGACTGCCCTAGGATTTATCCTCCCGCAGCCTCCTCAGTGCCCGCCGAGCACCCGGGCCGCCCGTCCTGCCCGCGGGGGACCCCGGAGCACCGGCCTGGGGGCGGGGCCGCGCGCGGGGCGGGGCCGCACGTGGCGGCGAGGCATGCGCGCGCACGGGGGCCGCGTGCAGCGGCGCGTGAGGGGCGGGGCGGTGGTCCCGCGGCCGCTCGCCCCGCCCCGCCGCGCGCGGTCCCCTCCAATAAAGCGTCTCCGACCCCGGGCTCCGCCTCCTTTGCTCTGTCCGGGCTGGCGCGTGGGGAGGCGCACGTGGCCGAGGCGTGTGGGAGCGGGGCCGCCGCGTGCGGCCGCCGTTACGTAACCGCGCGGGGCGGGGGCCCGCTCGGCGGCCGGGGCTGGCGCGTCCCTCCCGGCCCGGAGCAGGTAGGGCCCGGGGGCGGCGGAGGGGGAGGAGAGGCGAGGCGAGGCGAAGCGGCGGCCGAAATCCGGGAAGGCGCTGCCTGACCGCGCGAGGAAGGAGCGGCCCCTGGGTCCGGCCGGCTCGCCGCCGGGGTGGGGGTGGGCCTGCGCCTCCCGCGTCCCCTTGAGGCGGTGTTTGTTTTTCCTGCAGAAGACTGGTGAGGCCCGACTGCTGCACCGAAGGTCGAGGGTCTGAGTGTGCCGAGGAGCCAGGCCGTGGCGGTCGATGCCCCTGCGCTGTGGCCTTCTGCGGATCAGAGATGGACGTGGGCAAACCCCGGGGCGGCAGCTCGGAACGTGGCGCGAGTTGGTCACCGGCCGCCGCTGCTGGGGCTGGGGGCGAGCGAGAGGAGGCGTTCAGCCCTGCCGATTCGGGAGGGCAGGAGGGAGAGCATCGGGGGGATGCAGGCTTACGTTGCGCGATGTGTACGGGAACCAGCTCCGGCGGGAAACGGTTTAATAGCCCGAACTCCAACAGAACTGATTTCTGCAGCTGTCCGTCAAACGGCTGTTCAGCTGGAAGTTTCGTGAGGCAAAGCAAAGTTAACAGGTAGCTCTCAACAGCGTGTAGAACCAGTTGTCCTATTGCTTGAATTGATGTGCTCAACTTAAGCAGAGAGCTAAAGTCAGAATCAAGGACCTGGTGTAGCTGTGATCCAGAGTTTATCTTGGGGCTCACTTATTTCAGTACACCAAGGAAGCTTGCCTGAATCACAGACCGTAATGTTTATAATGCTCTTGCACCTAGATTAGATTGCTGCTCCATGGTTCCTCATAAGCTGTTTCCCTAATTCTTAGACTGGCTGATCCAGATATGTCATTGATGCTTTTGTGGCTTCTATATATGCGCTTAATCTAAAGACTGTGTTTAGCAGTAGTAAAGCAGAACTTGCTTAAATAGTACTTTTCCTGAAAGTTCAGAAATTCAGTGAAGTGCTAATTTTTTTTTTTAATTTAAAAAAATAAGCAGTTCACGAACTATAACATATGCAATGTTGAACTGACACGTGAAGTTAATATGCAATACTTGGTCTTATTTAGTGATTTATTTAGAGTATTATACTAATAAAAATGCAAAATGGACAAAAGTTGTTGAAAATAACAGTGTTTGTATCTCATCTGGATAGAATCAGGATTAGTAGGATTAGAATCAGTCTGTGTTTTGAGGATATTGACTGCTTATTTTTCAGTCAGTGAAATAAGCAAAAGTAAGAAGAGGGAGAATTTGCTTGTTAATAACAACTGTTGAGGCCAATGACTCTGTTAAAAGTATAGTGAAGACTCACGAATCACGTGAGGAATGAAATCTTTGCATCAGGTGTATTTTGGGCACCTCAGGTTTCCCCGAAGTGCTAATAACCAGATGCAGACTTCAAGTCTAGAAAGACTTATATATGTAAAGAAGAAGCGTCTATTAATGGTTTTAATAGCAGAAAGATTTGGAAAATCTAGAGTAAACATCAGCTTATTTTTAGTTGCTAAGCATATTAGCAAGCAGATTGGTTATGATGTGACTTTGCCATCCATGAAATGTTGGAGTTGCAAAGGAGGAAGTTAGATGAGAAAAGATTAAGTATCAAAGAAGTGAGAAAGGTACAGCAGGAAATACAGAGAATGAGCATTAGGACGTTTCCGGATACTCTGTGACTTTGTGGCCAAGCCCATAAAATGCTAATTTAGTGAATAATTTTAATTAGTTCACAGAAAAGAAGCTCCTATACCAGAAGTCTCCGGTAAAGTTTAACTTCTGTTTTACAGTGAGCAGCTGAATTGGAGCCAGTCTCACAGAGATCTGATGATGATGATCCAAGAAATGAAAAGGTGTTTGCCTGAAGAGAAAAAGAGTTCTAGCAAACCCAGTACCATCAGTGCTCTCAACTATGCCTTGCAGTGTGTCCAGCAGGTCCAAGGTACATGTGGGGAAAAAGTCTGGAAGTGTAGAAGCTATACAGCAGCTTGGTTTGAAGAGATGTGTCTGGTAGCAAAAAACACTAAAACAAATGAAAGCATTCCAGTTATTCTTCAAAAAATTGCCTTTCTGAAGTACTGGATTGGGTTTTCTTATTTAAATAATCATGGTGTCTTTTCTATTGAAATGACCACCTACTGCTTCTCTTCAGAATCCTATGGGTAATAGGTGCCTACTAATAACTTGCTGTGTATATAGAAAAAACAGCATTCCTGTCCCACTCTGAAAATTTATTGGATAATCTGTGCTCTCCAACAGAACTAAGTAGCTAAAATGGTTCTTTTGCCATCACGTTCTGTCCTTTCTACTTCCTCGTGCTTGTTTTCTGTAACGTAAATAGTTCATTCCAATAGTATAATTAGTACTCCCTTTTCCTTTGTTGCTACACAGACTTTCCTCATCTCATCTTGGACTTAACCAAAAAGATGACAAAAGTACAAGGGCTGTAAGAAATACGTTCAAAATAGTCTCCTTACTGACTTCCTTGTGTTTGTTTTGCTTTTCCTCTTTTTCTCAATTAGCAAACAATGACTTTTTCCAGGCTCTGAATGACCGAAGAGTGTTTCAGCCAGATGTGATGACATACAGCATAGAAGAGTTGGTGGCAGTTGCATCTGAACACACTCCAAAAAACACTGTAAGGAATTCAGGCACACTCAAGGAGTTTGTCACTTGCCATTTCGCTCTCTCTTTAGTCTCTTTAGATCATTTTGTGGAAATAAAATGTGTAAAATCTGAAAGCCTTTAAATTTTAGCCAGACAGGTCTTTGTGTTTTTAAAGGTAGATCAAGACTACTTCTAATCTGTGCTGACTCAGAGTACCTACCAGTAGTAAGTGAAGAAATAGGGTTTTTTTCCTTCCCCCAGAAGCAACAAATATAAATTTGAGAATTCATTTACAGCATATTATCCTCTTGAGATAGATTTAGCAGCATCTTTTCAAAGCTGATCAAGTCCATAGTTGTGAGGGACTTTGGTTTCTCTTTGTGCTCCTGGATTTATTTATTTATTTATTCTCAATTTGCTGTATGTCATGCTGTCTGGCTCTGCTTCAAAGAAAAGACTGTTTCTTGAGATCCAATATTGTTAGATGCCATATTAGAAATACTGCAAATGCTATCTATCTGAAAAGTTCTCAGAATATTTTTGCATGTGGAATTGTGGTGAATACTCTGAAATTTGGGGAAAAGTGTGTCAAATGATAACCAGTTATTCTGGACGATGTCAAGGATCACTGTAATCTGTTTCAGTTTTGATATTGCAGTCTTACTGGACTTTGTAAATCATGAGTAAGCTACTATAGCATTGAAGATTGTGGTAGCTCATGCACAACTTTAATTGGACGCTAACTTAAGAACACATTTCTGAACCTCTGTCTTAGGTTGTGGTGTGTGGTGGTTTTGGGTTGGGTGGCTGGTTTGTTTTGAGGCTGTTCTTGTTTTGATTTTTTTATCCTTACAGTATTGCTGCCTGTGTTGGGGGAGGATTGCCTTTAACAATGCTTGTTTTCCAGGACACGTTTGTGGCTGTGTTTTCCTTGCTTTCGGGACACATAGTGCATATTTCTGAGCAGGCAGCATCCATTTTAAACTGTAAGAAGAAAGTGTTGGACTCCTCCCGGTTTGTAGAGCTGCTTGTCCCTCAGGATGTGAGTGTGTTCTACACGCACACTGATCAGTCCCACCTGCCGCTTTGGAACATGGAAAGTCAAACAGGTGGGACTTGGCAATGCTCCTAAAATGCTTTTGTGTGTCTTTTTGTTTTTAAAGAACGAGGATAGAACAGTTGTTCATCTTAAATGCTTATGCTAGCAATATACATCATCAACACTTGTTCCCTTTCCATTTCGAAAACTCAAGTAGCTATGCCACTAGTTCTAGCTAGTCTTCTAGAGGCTTAACTCTTACTTGGGTTAAATAAGAGGCGGATACTTCATTGTTTAGTGTATGATCTTACTCATTCCAAATACTGCTGCTTTATAAAAAGAAACTAAAGGTTTAATTGTGACTTTAAAGTTGTTTAATCTACATCTTATGATTGCTTAGGTACTTTGTCCTTATGGTCTGCTTGCAGCCTGCTGTGAATGTCGCTCACTGAACCGAAGTTTTAAGCTGACTTGCTGTTTAGTAGTGGATGTGCCTAAATGGTGACTTTTGAGTTCTGTGTTATTTGTGAGGAATTCAAATGTAGCTTGCATGCCAAGGCCATATCTTTTGCCCACCTAGCTGTGAGGCTGTCCTGGCATCGGAGCTGGGAAGTCCAAAATCCTTGCTGCCAAAGTATGAGAGACATCAGAGGCTGCTAACGTGGCAGGGATTCCACAACTTGGAAGCCAGTCATGTGACTACCGAGAAGAGCAGTGGCACCCCTATGGAGTTATTTTCTTGCTGTGAACTGTTACTGAATGTTCCTCTCCCCATAATTCTTGGCTCTATATAGTTTTTGGTACGTGGCTCATAAAGCCGGGAATTTTCACCTCTCCTTTCCATAGCAATGCACTGGTGAAAGGAGTTTTTTAGATCATATGTGTAGGTCAGCCATTTCTCCAAGAGTTGAGTGGGCTGTGGAAGAGAGATAACATCTGAGGTGGGAGCAGACTGTTGAACAGCTAATTCGGTAGCTAAGAAAGGGCAAGTTGTGAGACTTCGATCTTGCTCAGAAAGTCTGGAGAATGCAGAGTTTAAAATAGTTCTTATAGGTGTGACCTTTTTAAGAATATTAACTGATCCTTTCAATGTGTGCTTTTTCTTACTAGCTTCTCTGTATGAATATGCCCAGGTGAAGTCCTTTTTCTGCAGGATCAGGCAAGTACATTATTATAGTTCTGTGTTTGTGAAGGCTGGGCAAAGGATACAGTATGGGGCAGAAAAAATGTTCTGTTGTTGCATCTGACCAGTGTGAATTTGTGGAACTCCATTACAGTATTGGCTTATTGTGTTTAATGTTTGCATCCAGCAGAACATTTTTAATACTTTCCCACAGTGATGTTTAAACTTGCATGGGAATAGAAGATAAACTGATCATACGTGATTCTTTTGGAACTATCAGTTTCCTTCAGTACTGTTGTGCAGAAGAATTATTTCATGAAAAATTGCTGCTCCCCTTTTACAGTTTGAAAGTGTAGGCAAAGAGTGTTTTGCTTAAGATTGTTCAAGAGTTTGTGACAGAGGCAGTAACAGAAACTCAGTCACCTGAGTCCCAGTATGAGACCCAATTCATGAGATACTACTCGCTATCAGTATGGATGCAGTCTGCTGCTTTGTGCCTGGCCAATCTTAGTGCTAAAAGAAGGAAAAAAAGTTGAGATGAGCCTGGAACAGAACTGCACTGAAGATTACAGGCCAAAGTGGTCTCTTGATTTCACTAAGAACTGTTTGCTGCTGACCAGATAAATTTGTTCTATCTTTCTATCATTGATTCATTCATCTGTGTTTCAGTAACCCAAGCTCTAAAGTCACCTTTGTCTCTTGAATTATGTAACAGCACTTGGAATAAGTATAGCAGGTCATATATCAATTTTAAGTTGAGGGAGCTGTTTGTAGCATGCATAAACGTTTTGCAATAGTTTTTCTTCAGATTTTCATACAATGTTTCTCCTTCCTTTATATATCAAATCATTTTGATTATGTGGGCTTCATGAGTAAAAATATTTTTTCACAGGCACAAACTAGGCTTAAGTATGAAAATGTTTTTCTGTGGGTTAAACTTCTGCTATATCCCATTTCTGTTTGTATTTTTTTTTTCCCAAAAGGAGTTGTCAGTAGTAGTTTTTATGATACTAACTTCTCTCTAGAAACATTTTAGGAAACTAAGTGTGGAATAAAAAAGTAACTTCTGGTGTAAGTGATAATGTCCAAAAATTTATCTCAATTCTTTCTGTCAGAGCTGGGTAAGATACTGCAGTTCTAACAGATGAAAAAGCATTTGCAATAGAAACAGACAATTGCTTATGCAGTTGTTACAAGACCCTGGTTAAGATCTCATCTAGAATGTTGTGTGCTGCTGCTGCTTGCACGTGTTCTAGGAAGACAAATTCTCATGGGAGGAGGACAATCAAAGAACAACAAGTATTTTTGAACGGGGGCTGAAGGAGTCTCACTTATGTAGGTCAGTGAAACAAAACTCGAGACACAGATTTTTATTTTTTTTTCTAAAAATGGTACAGAATAAACAACAAACAGAAAAAGAACTGTTTGGACAGCACAAGATCAGATGAGTGGTTCGTGTGAATATGTTTGGACTGAGAATTAGAAGGTGGTCTTTAACCGTTAAGAGTAATGGCATTTCTAGAACAGCCTCTGAACACAAGTATTGGAGGCAAAACACTTACTTGGTTTTAAGGGGAGCGAGATCAGTATTGCTGAATGTGTTGGCATTGGATCGCAGAGGAGTGTGTGTAGGGCTGCAGGAGATTGTCATTATCTGGGTCTGTGTTCTCAGCATAATTTCTCTGTGCAGGGCTCTCAGCCCTGGCATAAAGTATCTGAGTCTTGAAACCAGTGTGTTAATCTCTTTTGCTTTTCCTCAGGGGTGGTAAAGATCAAGAACAAGAAACACGTTGTTACCCCTTCCGAATTACCCCATACTTGGTCCATGTGTGTACTTCTGTCCATGTGGATGCAGAATGCTGCTGCTTAGCTTTGGCTGAGAAAATTCACTCTGGATATGAAGGCAAGTCAGGAGACTCAAGTGAAAAAAAACAAGTCGATAGGAAAATGCAGTATATGAATGTCTGCTTCCTTTTTTTTAGAACTTGTGCTTGGGTAGTCTCACCCATGTGACTTCCCATTCGTGCATGCATGTGAATCCATAGCATCTGTGCCTTCTTTGCAGTGCAAAGGCTGCGACGCATTTGACCTCTTCTCACTATTCTTATTTTTGAGAGAAGTCTGTAGCACCTAAAATTTTGTAATGTTTCTATGAGTTACTGCTCAGAAAGCAGTGAACAGTTTAAAAGTGCAGGAGCCAATAACTCTCTGCCATGAGCAAAAGTAACAGTTAGGTGATTTGTCTTAGTGCATATTTGGTTTCAGTAAATATTTCTTTTTGTATTAGCTCCTCGAATTCCTATGGATAAAAGAATCTTCACCACCACTCACACACCTGGATGTGTTTTTCTTGACATAGATGACAGGTGAGATTTGAATCTGAAGACCTGTGAGGTGTGTATGGAGAAGTAGCAAAAAGTCCTTTGATGATGGAGCTGGAGACCCAAGTAAAGTAGTTGAACTGTGCAGCTGGCAATAGTTACACAAAGTACGTTTGTGTTAGTCTGCTCAGGGTAAAACATCTCTAACCCCATGGATGGAATCTATTTTGTTAACTTAAAATGTGCATTAAACAGAACTGCAGTCAGTTTTTGTTATCTAGGGCAATGGGAGCCTGTGCTAACGTAGAGGAAAACCAACATAGTGCAAAGTTCTGAGGATCACAGTGTGGAGATCCAGTTGTCCTGAGCTGGGTCAAATAAATTTTGCCAGACTAAGGCTGTCTCCTGAAAAGCCACAAGAGTGTTTTTGCAACACACTTTGCAGCATTCACATCAGATTTCTTACTGACGTTTTGCCTGTGACCTGTTTCCTCAAGTTCCCTTTTCCTTTTTTTTCTTTGCATATAGACAAGCACAAAAGTGCCTGCAAATGTGAAAACCTGTTAGATCTCCAGGCACAGAATTGTTTATCCTTGGTATTTACATGTCTACATTGCACTGGAGTATTATTAGATGGGCTGGAAGAATGTTCTGTAGCCTTAGTTCATGCCATTGTAGATTGTGCCTGGTGACTTCACCAACAAGCAAAGGGTTAAGGATGTAAATACTCAAAACTATTGTAGCTAGTGATAATGTGTTTGGGTTTCAGAGCAGTGCCTTTGTTGGGTTACTTACCTCAAGATCTAATTGGAACATCCATACTGATGTACTTGCACCCAGAAGATCGTCCTTTGATGATTGCTATTCACCGGAAAAGTAAGGACAGTTGCTTTAAGAGGAATTGCTACTGGTTTTAACATTCTTTTATTACCATATTGCTTGACATTTGACTGATCTACAGTCTAGACCAAAAAAAAATAATTAATGAATTAAAGCAGCCGGTCTGAGATCAGAGCAAATTAAAGCCTATAATTTTAAAAGATTCTAGTCGTTAGTGTTTGTGCTTGCACTACTGTGTCATAATGTAAACTAAAATTTTTCTTGATTATTTTTTTTCAGTCCTGAAATTTGCTGGCCAACCCCCTTTTGAACATCTACCTATTAGATTTTGTACTCAAAATGGGGATTATGTCATACTGGATACTAGCTGGTCCAGTTTTGTGAATCCTTGGAGCAGAAAAGTAGTGTTCATCATTGGCCGACACAAAGTCCGGACGTAAGTCAGTTGTAGAATTGATCTATTGAAGTCCTTTTCATTGAACGTTCTGCAAAACAAAACAGTCTCAGTACTGAACTAGAGATGTAATGTTGTTCCTGCAGTCTGTGACAACTACCTAGCATCTGTCTTGCAGCCCATTCCTTCAGAACAGTATTAGTGTATTAAGTATGCAAATACATAAATTTCTTTAAAGCAAAAGGTGGAGCCAACTTTTTTTTTAGCATATGTTTTGCACATGGTTAATGTCCAAATACTGTGACAACAGACATGTCCAAATCAAAAGACCAGTTTTGGACAAGATGAGTAAAAGCGAAGAAGCAACCTAAAAAGGTCACTTTAACAAATAATCAGTTGACATTGATTTATGATTGACTCACCAAAAAAAAAAAAAAAAAAAAAACACATTAATTGACAGACATGTAGCCAAAATCACCTTCTGGATCATTCACTTGATACAGAATCTAAATATTTACCAAGGTTAACCTCTTTTAAAAATGCAATTATTATTGAATGTGCAAGTTAATTTTTCAGATGTTTCTCCTTAGCTTCCAAGAGATTTGGAAATATGGCTGTCTGCGTTCCTCTTACCTGGTTTCCTTTTCAGGAAGTGGCTTTTTGGGATGGCCTTTTGACTTTTCAGAGTGATCTTTTATTCAAGATTTTATCGAGTGTGAATTTGTCTCCTCAGTGAAGGAGGCAGAGGGGTAGATGCTTGTCAGCCCTAACTAGTGTCACTGTGCTGGTGTACTGACTTTGCTGGGGCTTCACATGAAGCACTGCTCTCATAGCACTGCCCCACTACCCTAGCAGAGCTGCTAGTGGAACAGATGACATCCCTTTGTGTTGATTCAGCAAAGCAGTCAAAATAATGATAATAAAAAAAAAGAATCTGTCCTAACTCTGCTTATAGTTATCTTTTCTTTATCAGATCAAAATTAATAATGAAATATTGTTGGCTCTCTCCAGAAGCCCTCTGAATGAAGATGTCTTTGCTGCAAGGAGTAAAGAAGTAAGCAGTGTTGAGAAAGAGATAAGGGAATTGCAAGGACAAATTTACAAGCTGCTTCTGCAGGTAAAGATGATGACAGAATTTCAAAACACTGGCTGGCCTTCTGAATGAGAAGCTAAAGAATTTGGGTCTGTTTAGAAGACTGCTTTGGGCATGATCTTTTAAAAGGTCTGAAATGAAAGTTCTAAATGGAGACAGGCTTGTATGATGGCATTAAAAAGATGGCTCTGGGTAGCCCACTTGATGAGAAAAAAAATATTTTTTTTGCCATATTTTCCAAGCCTTTATGTTGATACATAAATCTTCATCCTGAAACAGCTTTAAGCAAGTAGTGGAGCCCAGAGCAATGCTGACTTTTCACTTAATTTTCTTTGTTAACTTGAATTTCTGTGTGGCAAAGTATGTTGTTCCCTTCTCTCTGTTCTCTAAGAGGATGATTTATTTTTTTTAATTCTTATTTTCTTCCCCTCAAACAGCCAGTTCACAGCAATGTTTCCAGTGGTTATGGAAGCCTTGGAAGCAATGGCTCTTACGAGCACTATATCAGTATAGCATCTTCAAGTGACTCCAATGGGAATGGTACAGAGGAAGTACAGGAACCAGTAAGTCTATAAATGTCACTGTCTGCAGAGTAGTAAAAATCGAGTTTTTAAAAATGAAAACTTACTGTGTACATACGCACTACTCATCATGAATTTTACTGAAGTGGGGGCATACAGCTATGTTCAAGCTAAATGTACTTAAATTGATCAATTATAGAATGCTGACTTTTAGTTTTTGCCCTTAATTTTGCTGTCTAAAATGAGCAGATAACTACTACGATAGCTCACTAAACTATGTTGAAGACTTGCTTAAGATCAGCCTTCTCAAAGAACCAGTGGACTCAGGGAAAAAAGTAGAACAACCATGCAACCAGAAAGAGGATTGATGCATGCAGAGAAGTTTCTGTTTGCTTGGGATTTTCTCTTTTGTTTTAAAAAGAGCACTAGAGGTACAGTGTACACTGCTATAGAGGAGAGTAGAAACAGTACTGTCCTAAAACAAGCATTGCAATTACCTAGTTTGCTTGTGAGGCTCCTGGGCAAGTCCTCAGCTTATTCCCACTCTCAAGGCTTGCATCAGTATTAAAGCATTCTAATGCTGAGGCTGTTTGAGCTTTATCATGGTTAATTTAATTAAATTAACTATGATAATTAGATTCATTAAATTTACAAATACCAATAGATACCAGGCTTAGGCTGGCAGTCTACTCCATTTCAGTTTGGAGAATACAAGAATCTAAGCCCATCTTAATGGTCTCGTATGGCCTCTTTTCATTAATTTTATTCTGACTTCACATTTTCACGTATCTCAAGATGACATTGCAACAAGTTTGTGCAGATGTCAACCGGATAAAGAATCTGGGACAGCAGCTGTATATTGCATCAAGGAGCAAGCCACAAAATGGAAATAAGCAGGCTGTGAGCTCAGAAATGGTAGGAGGTAAGTTAGTGTAATTATGATCCTTAAGGTAACATGAACTTCTGTAGATCTAGAGCCATGAGTTTGGCTAGCTGGTGTTATGCTGAAGAACTTAGGACAGCATTTTATCATGGCTTAAATGTGGGAGGTGTTTTGTTGTTTTTTTTTTTTTTTTTTTTTTTTTTTTTTTAAAAAAAATCACAAACCAAGCAACCAACCAAAAAAAAAAAAAAACAACCCACCCCCAAAAAATTTCTCAGCCGATGCAATAATTTTTTAACTGTTCCATGAGATGTGGAGGAAGATATCCATCTCTTTGTAGGTTAGTAGACTGGGGTTTTTTTATTTTAACATTTTCTAGTGAAAATGCAGACTTGCTTCTAACAAGTGTAAGTCTACTATGGAAGCTTCCCTCAGTTACTTTATGTGGGCTCTCAGAAACTATCCATAGGTCAGAAGACCCTGCCCCACTTCCCACTGAAGTAGTGGCTTAGTTATTGATAATATAGCTTCATATTATGATAATGCACATTATTTGCAGTTAGTACCTAGCACAAATATACGGAGAAAACTGCATGCTTCCTCAAATATCGTAAGAATCTTTATTATAACATTTTTCACTGTGATACTCTTTATGAAAGTTATACTTATCTCATAGTCTTGTTGATGAGAGGACTGCACTGTGAATGTTGATACCACTCTGACGAGTAGATCTATGCTATAAAAAACTGTAAATTACTGTTAAATAGCAGGTTGAATTCTGTGATCTCTAAGTTGAGAGAAGAGTAATATTAATAGCATCCTTGTTTAGAATTTAAATACGATACTTTTTTTCTATGCTGTTTTCATGTTGTTTACTAGTTGTTCTGAGTAGATGTTTAAGGTGGTTTGGGTTTTTGTTTTTTCTTTCTAGACATTCTTTTCCCTTCTCCCTCCCCTACCTCAAAACATGTGAATTGGGATGGAAATGTAGACTAACTTAGTAATGGGAGCTGTGCTGTCATAGGCCATATTTCCCTGTATAGTATAGATGTATCCCAGTATATATGTGTGTTCCTTGGTGGGGGTAATGTTTAGATGCCTTTGAGAGGAGTCTGTGAGGATTTCTTCTTTTCTAGGGAAGAGGCACACTGCTTCCTGTTTTCTTCAGACATTGAGAAGTGATAGCACAGAAGAACCAGGCAATGCACTTTATGATGATTCAAAGAAGACTCCACGTGTTCCTTCCTATCAGCAGATCAACTGTGTTGATAGTATTATCAGGTATTAAACTATGAAGTGATTTTTAGAGATACAAGTTTAAGATTAATCGGTGGAAGGTAAATATCCAAGCAGTTTGCATTGGTCTAAACTGTCTGGGTTTTGAGTTGCGAGATAAATTTGGGACTGTAAGGTTTTCTGCCTCTCTGGGCAATTCATCCCAATGTTTAGTCAATCTGAATTACACAATAATAAAGAATTTAAGGCATAAAATTCTATTTGCAACTATTGACGTTTGTCTACTGCTAGTTTCACCATTGGTGCAGTAGGGGCTTAAGAGAATTCTGATAGGTGTAATATGTTAATGTCTTCTCAATATATGCTTTGAGAACATCCATATAAAACAGTTGATATAATTTATAAAATGTCGGTATTTTTTAACCCAGAGGATAATGTAATCTTTTTTTTCTCTTTCTTTTCTCCTTTTTTTTAAAGAGTAATTGATAGGTTTTATTTAAAATACTCCTTGGAAAGCAGATACGTGTCTAGAGCTTCCTGCAGTGAATTTAAAATTCTAGTTAAAAACCCCTGGATCTCCAGTTTGGATTGTTGAAGTGTTTGTCTCTCCAAATGGAGAAAAAACCACAACGTAGGGAGAGCTTCCTGTGATATGCTTTTATTTCAGATATTTAGAGAGCTGCAGTATTCCAGCATTGAAAAGGAAATGTAAATCTTCTGCAAATATATCATCATCATCTTCAGAAGATGACAAACAAGTCCAGCAAAGTCAGCAGGAAGTTGAGGCATTGGAAGGTAACACAAAGTATACTGACAATCATAATAGTACTGTAACAAGTGATTTAATTTTTATATGCCACTGTTGTATGTTCCAAGTTTGATCTCCACTTTTTAAATTGTTGTCACACTAACAGCAGAAATAGTTTGGTTAAGTGGTAAATATTTGCTTACCTTTTCTAAATCTCAAAATTAAGCATAAGCTACAATACTAAGTCTCTGAATGTAGAATGCATGAAAAGAACTACTGTTTGTTGTTAAATGAACCTTCTCTTGCTCACTCATTTTTATGCCATGTTTAGTATGTGCTGACGTCGCACTGGCATATGAATGTTACATTTATCTGTATATAAGACAGCCTTATTTAATAGTCTGCATAGTTACTGGTTGCTTCTGAACCAGTCAGACTTGATGAATTGGGAGCACAGTGCTTGGAATGAAATCCCGTGTAGAAACTTTGTCATTTACCAATAGTTACTGCTATGGTTCCAGCAGTTAATTCCCAAACTCCAATATCTGCTGATCGGGAAGAGACACTGAAAGACCAGACAACTGCAGGCATGGTGGGAGCTCCTCTGGCAGACCTGACCCTGTCCAGCAAGGCCCCAAGTGTGGTGTCTGTCACCAGCCAGTGCAGTTATAGCAGCACTATTGTGCACGTTCCACACCCTGAATCAGGTACTGTTCACACTTGCAAAACACTGACTTGACTCACTGATTAAGTTTACACAGTGTTTCCAGACTGAACTACACCATGAGAAAGTTTTGTCCACTTGAGATATGTTCTCATGAATAGGAACTCTGAAATCTAATTAAGGTACTTCTAGGGACACTGTGAAGAAAACTTGAACCTGGAAATTTTTACAGTATTTTAATTAAACCTAGTTTTAACAGAGTGCGCTATTTCCTTTCCCTTCTAACTTCACCATATCTGTATCTCAAACACAACAGTATGCTTTTGATCATTGAGGATTAAAATAAAAATGACTAAGGGGCCAGTGTCACTTCATTGTAATGCAGAAAGAAGCATAAAAATGAGTATTGAACTGCTATTGTACTAAGAAAATATGAAGAAATAAGTGCCTCTGTAACTTTAAAGTGAATATGAAGTTTTCCAGACCATGAAAAGTAATTTGCTCAGTTGATATTAGTGTAACTATATTTGAGTGTAAAGGGTATTTTCTCCCCCCACCCCCACCTCTGCAGCCTGTATCTGCTCGGTGTTGTGGTAATTAACACCAGAAGTCCAGAGCAAAGAATGAATGATTTATTTTCTTCCCTCTTCAAAGAAGTGACTACAATGGAGGATACTACTGTCGGGAGTGAACAAATTGAGCTGCCTCCTGTGAATGCTCAGAGTCTCACTATGGTGCCTGAGGACTTAAAGCCAGTTGGGCTAACAAAAGAGACGTTGTCAGCCCACACTCAAAAGGAGGAGCAGAACTACGTTGACAAGTTCCGTCAGAGGATCTTGCTCTCTCCATTTAGGGCTTACCTTCAACAGGGGAGCAGAAGTAACAATGGATATTCCTGTGGCCAAGGTAAGCAGCAGCTTTGAGAAGTAGAGACTTACTAGATGACTTATAAAGACCAACCTCGCGGTAAATTCTGGTTCTCCTTTGTGTGATTTGACGAGTATCTTACTATGGCTGCAAACAGAATACTTCCTTTGAAATGCTAAGGCTTGACAACAGCATTGCCCACACAGGAGGTCTGCTCTGTCTTGGATGTTACTATCATAGATTTTTCACAACGCAGATAATTATTGCAGTAAAGCTTGCAAATCCAAAGTAGTTTATTGCCTCCCCTTGAAAGAATGTAAAAGATCTGACTGGGATAAGCCAAAATGATTGATAAGAAAATTGATTACATGAAGGAAAACATTGTAGATATGTCAGCAAATCCATCACTGTAGTGTATGAAATAATTACTCAGAGGAAAGTCAGCTCTCTGAATAAGCCACACTCAATTATCTGGAAGTTTTTCCCCTTTTCTTTTTTTTTTGCACCCTAGGTCTGTCATATCAGTGAATGTGTCTATTTTTCTTCCTCTTTAGGAGATTCCTCTTCAAAGCAGATGAGCCCAGCTAGCTGCAGAAAAGGCAAACATGGAAAATTCAAGCGCCAGAAGCCTCAGAGACAGTCCTCAGATAGCCACTCTTCTAATAAAAATAGAAATGGTCTTCCATGTGAGAAGAGAAAAATCCAGAAACAATCATTCTCTCCTTCAGAAGTATCCTATCTGAGCTCCGCCGGTATGAATGTCCTTCCTCCTGTGGGATTTCCTGTCCATTCAGATCCAGTACCTAGTTTTACAGCCTCTTCTGTGGGAGAGGAGCTTGCCCTTCACTCAGTAAAACCTGAGTCTGTGTCATCGTCGCAACTATGTTGTGAAGAACAGTCATGCCCAGCACTTTATCCCCCAGACATAAGCACGTTTATGGCTGTATTTTTTCAGAGTTTCCCCATGTATCCTCAGATGCCTCAATATGTCTTTATTCCTAGCCCTCAGTATGTTTATCCCCCCTCTTCATACCCATGCACTACGCTACCTCCAGCCCCACCTCCTGCTCCATCACCGATAGCACCGCACTCTGTGGATCAGCCCTTTCCAGCCTCCTCTGCCACATACATGGAGGACCAGCAAGAGGGCCAGCATGACCAGGCCCTGCTGCTGAGTAGCTCACGAAGCAGCTCCCCACTTCAGCTGAATTTGCTTCAAGAAGAGCTGCCAAAACCTATGGAGCTTTCCATTGGTACTGATGTTAAAGCATGTACAGAAGCTAAATGTGTAAGTAACATGAATTTTTAATATAGAGGAGAAACTGACTTTCACAGTATGCAATCAAAACCAGGGATGATGATCTGTGTTTCAGGGTCACCAGATTTTGTTAGCTGCTTTTTCCAGTGGCTGCACTAGGTAGACTGCAGGGCACAAATAGCACAGGAGGTGGAGAAGGCTGTTTATAGTTGCACCTGTGGGAACTTGTAACAGTACAGTGTTGGCACATAGTATGGGACAGAAATGTGAGATCTTGTGGTCTAGGCTGCTATGAGCCATTTTTGCTCAGCATTTTGGCAGCAGCCTTTTCAGTTACATTTTCAGCCAGAACTTTGTGTTTGGGGCTTTTATGCATGTGGAACTTGGTTAGTGCTGTGCAGTTCGCATCCTTTTTCACCCAGTCCCACAGTCTCTGTGGAGAATCAAAACAAAGGGAATGTATGCCTCTAATTACTCCTTCTGTCTCCCATGGATGCAGCTAATGAATGAAGAACAGGGATCCGTGTGGGTCGGTTTCCATACACGGGCATAGAAAAGGCCTCTCCAACTTCCGCAGTAAACTCAGAGGCAGGAATGTGAGCTCTGCAGGCAAGGAAAAAAATGTTGGCTCCTGAATCCAAATTGGGCTGGAAAGGCTGGATCAGCTGAAACTGGAGGGTAGGGTCCTGAAAGGGGAGTTGGTATATCTGTAGCAGCTGAAGCAGTAAGGTTCATATAGTGAGTCAGGGGAAGACTCACTTTCCCTGTAGCACACCATTGCTTGACAAGTGTGGCTGCTTCATGCCATCTAACAGGACACGAAGGGAACTGTCGACTCCTCTCTTGTCAGCGGAAAGTTTTAACTTAGTGCAACACTACAATATCTTGACCCAGTAGGGAAGGATCTACAGCAGAAACTAGTAAACTAGAGTCCAGATTCTTGCTGATTTCACCCATGAAGATTGTTATTCTGAGTTCTAGACCACCATTCATTTTCAGAACTAGAAACTCCAAGCGTGTTGAATTGATAGGAGAACTTAGTCAAGATGTGACAAGTTAGAAAATGCATGAACTTCATTTTTCAAACGTAAGTGTAACTTCCATGGATGTGTTTGGTTTTGATTTTTTTTTTTTTTTTTTTTTTTTTTTTATCTCCAGGACAACGATCCAGAAAATAGTGGCAACAGTGCTAGCCATTGTGCTCCTAGTGAATTTACTGACCACTTGCTGTATGAGGACTCCCAGTCAGGTACAGGTTCAGCAGTGTCAGGAAGTGGATCAGCTTTATCTGTTTTTTTAGGCTCTGGCTCCAGTGAGACTTCTGGTTGTGGCACAGGTAGGGAAGTTTGAGGTTTGGATCTTTGGTGCTTTGGTGCTAGATGGCTTGCTAACATGTTGGTAATTCATAACAAGATACTGTAATGGGAATAGGAAATCCCAGGAAGCTAATCCGTAGTCTTTAATTTTCACCAGCTTTCAGTGTTTGAAGCCAAGTTTGTTTCAGTCACTGTAGTTGGAAATGGGAATCTAGGAAGTTATTCCTTTAATCTGTAAGTCACGCTTTCATTTTGCTCATTATCAGTTTTCTCTGCATGAGATACTGACTTGCAAAGGTAAATCTGCCTAGAGTATGACCTCTTGAAACAGAAGCAAATAATTTGAGCCAATTAATGGTGAGAAGAGTGAATAGAGCTTCGGAGATCTTGAGCAACCTAATAGAATACACTTTGTCTTTGAATTCTCAATAGGTAGTAGTCACTTGATAGAGCAATCACCTCGGAGTACCTGTGTTTGTATTGCAGAACTAGCTTACAAGAATACACTGGTGTTTTTTTACTTTTTGTGCTGAATTAGTAGGATTTTTCAGGCATCTGCATTCTTTTTTTTTTATGGTAATTCTCAGCAGGTAGTGGGAAAAGCAGCAAGTATTTTGCCAGTAATGATTCTTCTGAAGCTTCCAAAGAAGAAAAGAACCAGGAAGCAGAAGAAAAAGGGACAGCACATAAATCTAAACATGAGTCAGTCTGGGCGATGATGGATCACACATCTGAGCAAGTTCTAATGACTTACCAAATGCCAAACAGGTTGGAAATCATCAACAATTTCCAACATGTAGTTTGGAATTGTGCGTAGAACTGTAGAATTAAAAATGAGACTGTGGAAACTGTGCACATACCAATGAAACACCAAGAAGGTGTTTTAATTTACTGTTTGTGCATTTTAGTCCCTGGTTACTTCCTTTTGTCTATTTTTTTTCCCCATTTCCCCCCATCAGCTAAAATACGGTAACATGTAACCTTTTTGCTGAAGTGTTGAAGGGATTCATTATTGTCCTGTATTTTGAATGCATAAAGGGGTAAAAATGTGCTATTTTCAAGTTTTTTGTAATTAGCTTTTAATTTGTAATGAGATTCTACATTTAAAACAAAAAAAAAACTACTCAGAACAAAACAATAAAAGAAAATGAAAAATAACCCACACCAAACACCCAAAAAACCCAAACAAAAACAACAAAAATCCCCTGACAGTTAGACCAGTATTGAAAGAAGCCTTACAAAGCAAACAAGGTATAGCAATGTATAGTTACGTTTCAATGGCTGATGCTGTCTAGACTTCAGCCATAGATACTGCTGAACAGACTCTCACAGTGTGATTATAATCAGTGCCTGCCTTGCTTCATTTAGTACAGCTGTGTTCACAGGTGTCTTGTTACGTGCAGAATTAAAGAGGAGGTTCTAAAGGAGGATCTGGAGAAGCTGATGGTCATGCGAAAGCAGCAGCCTTGGTTTACAGATGGGCAAAAGAAGGAGCTTGCAGAAGTGCATACTTGGATCCGTACCCAGACTGTCCCACTGCAAATCAGCACCCAGGTAAAGAGTTGTGAAAGGAATCAGCTTCTCATTCGCACCTTGGCTAGCCAGAGGCAGTGCCATTTCTAACTTGAGGCAGAACTAATCTCACACAGATCTAGAGCTCCAATGATGAGTTGCACAGAAAATTTCAAGGCAGAGTGGGCTGCATTCATGTACTCATGCAGCAGAAAAATCTAATGTCTGTTGCAGTACTGAATGCTCTGTGTGCTGGGATTTTCAAATGTGGCATTCTGAACTGTGGTGTTTATTCTTACAGCAGAAAAATTGAGAAATCTATGTCCTTGGCTTGGGAACAAGACCAGAAAATTAGTCTTTGTTTACCTAAGACCTTGTTGATAAAAATCTTGTGTGTCCTGTTGTGGTTAGGACCATGTGTTTGATTCAGATAGCAAAATGATGTCCAGTGGTCTTGCAGAAAATTCCATTGAATGTTTACATTATCTCAAATGTTATGGGATGATATGCAAATATAAATATTTCATATCTAAGGTGCTAAAACTGTTCCTAAGCAGTAGGTCATGTTTCCAATATAGATTGTCATACTATGAATGCAGCCAGGCTTCTGTCAGTAGAAAGAAATGCAGGATTTCTATTTTAATACTTTATTTTAATATCATACTATTTCTCAAAACCAAGAAAAATCTGGTCTGTCAGTACTCTGGCATTTCAGCCTTTTTTTGTTGGTTGGTATTGTTGCTGTACAGTCTGCAGTCCAAATCCTTAATGAGCTGCTTGTTTATAAAGGTGAAAGATAAGGCCTTCACATTTGAGGAAGTCACATGCCTTTTTATCTTAAAGCTAAAACTGTATGTTCTACTAACCAAAGAATTCATTTCTGAGACAAGATAACTTGGAGGTGCGAGTACCTTCTTCTGAAAATGAGATATCTGTATAATTTCTGCTTTTAGAGATATTTCAGCCCACTGGTGAGGGGTTTCAAGAGATTGCAACAGATCATGCTATCAGGATTTGACTCTCAGAAATATAAAAAGGAGAATTTAAATCACTCTGTTCTTGTTCCTTTTTAAAGGGCTGTGTTACATGTGACATCAGGGAAGCAAGTTGTGAGGCTTCAGTAGCTGATGACAGTATGGAAAAGAAGGGAAACTCACCTCTGCTCCTGCAGCGCTGAAGACAGCATCAGCCTTTCTGTCAGTAAAACTGGGTGGTGTTATTCCCATTCTCTTTTTCTCTGACTTTGCTACATACTAGCAGTGAATCTGTCTATTTCCTCCCAACATGAGCAGTCGCAGTTGAGAAACTAAATGTTCCTCCCTTAGCCCTCTACTCCTGGCATGACTTTGAAGACGATCTTTCACTGGGAGGCTATTTCCCTTCCTGACCTCACAGACTTCGTGCAGAATGGGTTATGTTTCTAACTTCTGATTGCTCACTGATGAGCGAAATACAAAGGTTTTTTGGATTTGGGGTTTTTTTGTTTGCTTGAACTTGTCAAGAGTCTGAAAAGATGCAGTGGTTAAGAACCTACAGTAATGAACCTAACAGATCTGAGCATGTTTACTCTCCAGGTAAGGTGGATGTATTGAAACCAAGCTACAACAGAGTGCTCTTTGTTTTCATTTGTTCAATATTTAAAGATCTAAACTGAAGATACTTATACGCTGAGGCTGTAAAATCACTGTAGCTGGTTTGAGAATCCAAAGGGTCTTTTAATGAGCAGCTGAAAACTGGTCAAATTATTCTGCATTAAAATGCCTTTCACCAGCTTGTGCCCATCAAGAGAATAAGTGAAAAGGAAGTAAAGCTATTCGCGATGTTTTTTGTGATAAGTGTTTTGGAACCAAGTTGCTTTATAGCTTTTTGCTTTTTAAAGCTGTGCTTCTCATGATAGGTGTTTAAAGTTAATCGAGGGTAACTGGTTTGCAAATGCTCTAGACATTAAATTATAAATAGCTATCAAAAAAAATAGAAGTAACAATTAAGGAGTTATTTCATTATACAGGATCTGCTTTTTAATAATAGACACATGGAAAACCGTTTCTATCAAGGCACTATAGCCTAGTTATCAATTTGAGCAGCTACATGCAATCTTTTATCCTATGTGGCTAGTGCTCTGGAAGGTGGATTTATATCTTGAGTTGTTTGTTGTTGTATTAGAGTAGTTAGAGTTGAATCTAGACATGGCAAATGGGAAATTTCAAGCCGTTTCTCTGTTTTGTTTTTGTTGTGATGATGTCAAAAACAAAAAAACGGATTGAGCTTAATTTCTTCTACTTTCTTGAAAAGTCACATTGTGGAGACAAACTTGAACTTCAAACCGCATATTCATTATTTCTTCCCCCTGTTGACTTCCTGTATATGTTTTAACCTCTTCCTTTATAATGGAGTCTCTGTCATGTTGAAATCCGTGGATGAAAAATTAGTTGGCACCTAGTGCGAGTTTGTTGTTCAGAAAGTGGTAACCACCTTCTCTTTCAGTATGTAAAAGGACTTGTTCTCTTGTTAATACTTCTAGTTTAAAGCTGAATGTCTCAAAGCGCTCTTCAAACAGGACACACTTCACTGAAACCTAGCAAATTTTGTCCAATTTCTCCTTTGTTTGTCAAAAGCTGGATGTAATCAGATTTTTCCTTGTGGTGTCACTAATCACCCTAGCCTTCTCAACAAAGTGTTTTAGAATGTAACGTGTTAGTCACCCTTTTGTTCTGTGTAACTCCTATGTGAAGGATTTTCACTTTTTCCAGTTTTCTTTACTAGTAAGCTTCAAGCTGTTAAAAAATATTGTGATCTGCAGATCATTGAGGGAAGACTATATTTATCTAAAGATTTTTGTTACTTTTTAAAATCAATTCAGTGACAATCTTTGTCATTACAGCTTTTTTCAAGGAAAGTAATTTTTACAGAATTTTAAGTTTTCAAGGCTAATTTGACTCAGGCAGTGGTTTTTTTTGTTGTTTTTTATTCTTTTTTTACAGTATGCTTGCTTTATCTGTTTATACCTATTGATTTCTATTTATTCTGAGCTGCAATTCTGTCTGTCTGTCAGGTTTTTTCAGCTTGTTCTTTCTTGTGCAGTAAATGAGCGTAAGTCCATACATCTTCAGTACTTTCTGTGAACTTTAAACACTTCTTAAAATAAAAGACTTCAATAGGTGTTTACATATAACTTAAATTGAAATTACTGTTTTAATATACTTTGAGACTTAGAGAAATAGATTAATTTGGATACTCCAGGTAGGGACAGCTGTCTCCTTCAAAACAGTTTAAAAGCATAAGCCAAAAGGAAAGTTTAGATAGTCAACTCCTTTGCTGTACATTATTTCCACTGTTTATTTCCTGGGTATGAAAATGGGATGGTTTATAATGTCTTAGCAGGCATACATGTCATCCATTTTATAAAACAGTGGGACTTAGTTTAGGAGAATGGTGATATGTACCTAACACTTGGGTAATGCTTTTCATCTATAGGTCTGGAAACATGTCAGAAAGATGACTATCATTATCCCAGTTGTATAAAAAGAGGCAGACACACAAGGGACTTGCACAGATGCACACCCCCAGTTCATACCAAATCCAGGAGTAAAAGTTGGGGATCTTCACTCGCTGTATCCTGTGCTGTCTTTGCTGCAAGTGGTCAAGATTCTGACCTGTATGTGGGAACTTGATCATATCAAATGTGTTTCTTGTTTGGAGATGTTAACCCTTCTTGTACCACCTACTGCTATGAATTTGTGTCCAGTAGGATCATATAGCAACAGCAATCCTAGACAGTTTTGTAGTGCTGTGAACACCATACCCACTGACCGTATGTAATGAAGGTACCTGTGCCTAGGAGTTTGAATTCAAAGTTTGTAATCCTGGCTAAATCTTAGGTGCAAGATTCCTTGTCTGGGGCTATATACTAGTCCTGGGTTACGAAAAAAATTACAGTATGGGAGAAGAATATAAGAAGAATAAAGAGGTGAATCAGTGCTCTGTGACGATTAAACTTTTTATTTTTTTCCCAAAAACACAAACAATCTTGGCTGTAAAACCAGGTTTAGGACAAAAACCAGTTTCCCTTTACCCCACTAGAACCACAACATCTTGCAATCAAATGCCTTATCAAGCCTTTTAGGAAGGACCTAGTTTCCATGAGTTTTCAGGTACTGGTAGTTTTTACTTCAGCTTATATTAATCTTTCAGTCTGTGTAATTTGCTGGAGTAGTTGAAGTGATATCCAGCTGTGATCTGAAAGACCAATGGAGTAAATATTGCAGCCAGATTTGCACGTGCTGTTTTGTTTATGTGACTTTGTTTTGCTTGGCATAATTAAAATGTTGCAGATGGTTCAGAGCTGCTTGGAAGGTCACTTTTTTAGTGATTAAAGGGAAAACACTCACGTACAGTAATGATGCAGTTATTGCCCCCTGTGGGGGCATCAGCATTTTGGAAACCTTTGGTGGATTTCACTGGCAATTTTTTTTTGTTGTATTCATAAATATAGAATTATGTTTTTAAAAGATGATTTGATGTGCAAATATGTTCATGGCATTGCTATGAACAGGAGGGACCCTAGTGTATTTTTACGGTGTGCGATAAATACTTGCTGAATGAGTAATGTATTAGTAAATTTATCTTCCAGCTGAATCGACTTTTAAGTCAGTCGAATGAATTTTTACATCAGCTGATAGGAATATTTTATTGAAATAATATTCAGCTGTGGTTGAATTTGCAGTTGTGATTTTAACTGTACACTTTAAAGGAGCTTCTGTTTTTATAAATAAAACTGAAAAATACGCTGCAAAGAACCGCTTCAAGTGTGTGTTTACTTCTGTTGCTGGTAATTTCTAGAAAACAGACTTTTAACAAAATACTCGATACATTTTCTAATTGTACATAGGCATTGAGGTTGTGGGTACAGTGAAAATGGTCATGTAGTGGCCGTTCATCCTGTTTTGTGGGGGGGTTTGTGTTTTGTTTTTTTTTTTCCTTACTCTACCTTGCCCACTTCAGGAGGTGTTACTTCCTTTCTAATTGCATCCCACAAAGAAGGGCAAGTACCTTTATATTCAAAAGGATTATATTTGGATGTGTAAGCTGTTGCGGTTGGGCATGCAGGATTTAAAGCTTCTGTCTGTGCTGATTTTATTAGAAAAGGTAGATAATAAACACCTTGGAAGCACTTTGCCCCCACCATGCTAAAAGTTATGTTCTAGAGGAAGTACAAAGAAACAATTCATAGGCTTAATTCACAGGCAAGTCTGGTAGAGCAATAAAGTTCTTAAATAATTGCAGAGAAACAATTTGCTCATCTTTTCCTGCTTTAAGGGACTTCAAAAGAAGCGTGATCGACAGTGCTTAAAGAATGGTGCAGGAGAAAGGCAAAGTCACTGCAGGGAGTACAAAGTACAGAACAAAAGATGTAGTCTCTTATTAAAATTGGAAAAGAAAGAAGTAATCTTAGATAAGAATGTAGCGGAAGGTGCTTGTGGCAAGGTAAGTGATGCAGTTCCTTGAAAAAGGTAACATTGGATATATTTTTGCTGATGGTTTATTAATTTTTAAAAGGGTAATTTGGTCATTCTAAACATACAAATGTGAGCCAAATTACCTAGGTATTTTTGGTCCAAAAATTATGTGAAGTGAATAGGTTTGTGAAATTAAAAAGTTTAAGGTAGTGCTATGTTTTTATTCGGAGATCTAGGCAATGTCAGTCCAGCTATGTTACTGGTTTCCTCAATGACAGTCATCCTCACATCAGCTGATGTTCTTGTTCGCAGTTAAAAACCTGTAGCTTTCACCTCTCCATGGATGACAAAGGTGAGCTGAATGATGTACTTCTGTATTTTTGGCAGACTCTGAGAGTAAAGTATTGGACCTGTGATGCTTACTCAGCCCAATCTCAAAAGGAATGGGACTGTAGTTTTTCTGTAGTAGGTTTGCTCCACAGTTACATTAACTTTCAGGATATTGCATATGTATAGATACAGTTGCTGCAGCTGCATAAACACCAAGGTCAGTGGAGGAACAGAGGAAGAAAGGAGGGGGGAGGTGTGCCAGAGCAGAGACCCCCCTGAATCCTGTGGTGAGACAGCAGGGCGGCCCCCCTGCCACCCATGAAGATCTACAGTGGAGCAGACACTGATTTATGGCCTGTGGCTTCCACCTGCATGATCAAGGTGCTGTGCCCAAGGAAGGCTGGGGTCTTGTGGGAAAAGGCAGCCCTGCTGCTGTAATTCAGCGCTGGGAGGATTGCAGCGTGCGGGGGTGTCCCACGCTGGAGCAGCTCGGGAGGGGCTGCAGCCCATGGGAGAGACTCCAGTTGGAGAAAGTTAGTGACCCACGATGGAGCAGTGTGGAGAATGCTGCAGCCCATGGGAGGGACTCATGTCGGAGAAAGTTTGTGGAGGACTGTCTCCGGGAAGAAGGGAGGGGTGGGGGGAAGGTGTTCTCAAGATGTGGCAGTGTTTCTCACCGTCTTACTCTGTTACGTGTTGTTAGTGTCTGTAATAAATGTATGGTTTTTTCTTCCCCTAACGAGTCTGCCTTTTGCTCGTGACCATAAAGGGGGATTTTTTCCCCATCCCAGTCCTATCTCGAACCCCAAGCCTGGCTCTCTGTCCCTTCTTATTGCTGGAAGAGAAGGGAGAGAGAGCTGCTGCGTGGTGGTTGGCTGCTGACCAGGCTCAAACCACGACAGGAACTGTGTTTATCTGGCATGTGCTGTGAACATTTTCTTCAGGAAGGAGACAGTTGGGTGTGCAACAGGGTCTTGAACGGTCATCTTTTTGAGAGCTACCAGTCATGTCCAAAGATGTAGTTTGAACTCCTACCTACCAGAGGTAAGGACTGTGAATGACCGGAAGTTTCAGGCTCTGTTCAAATTCTGTTAGTTTAGAATTAGCTGAATTCCACCCCCAGCCCCTGCTGCTGTTCTCTGGCCTAGCTTAAACACAGTAAGTTGAGTATTGCTTCTTCAGATGCCATAACAGCTAGCAAGCATTTTTGCAGTATCAAAAGTTGAAGCAGTTTGAGGGTTTATAGCTCAGTTACCTTGTCTTGACTCTTATCCTCACCACCTGACAGCTCTTTGTTCATTCCTTTACTCTTTTATGTAGATGGCTAGTGAACTTCTTAATGCTTGTAACATTTTTTTTTCAATTACTATTCATTGTGGTTTTACTTACTTTGCTTTATGTATGTAATTTTTGAAGTGAGATTGAACAGATATCTTTTGTTTTGTTCCCCAGTCTTTGTAGGCTCTACACCTTTCCCTGTCTATGAAATAGATCTATCTTAGATGGTTATTCATTTAGATAAATTTGAAGTCTTTTCTTACAAGTTTTTATTGACCTATGAGGTGACAGGAAAGGTGTAATTTTTAGACAGGCACTGACTTGCTCTGCTGTGTAAGAGAAGGATAAATATTCAGAAGGCTTCAAATAACTGCACAGTGTATCCAGCTGTTCTGCATTTGTAAGGACATTTTTCTTTGTTACAGCTGGCTTCATCTGTCTTAAAATTTAGGTGAAGTGAACAAGCTGTATCAAGCCTGTAGGCCGTGTTTAAACAGCACAGTCAGAGATTTATGATGTATATTATTGAGATCAATGTAGTGTGTGTGTCACTGTTAGGTGAAGTTTACCTCAAGCTTTCTGTGAGCCTTTATTAGTGCAAGATTTATGCGAAGTATCTATTGAACAAGGTAGGGCTTCACAGATCTCTGTGCGTATAATCAAGATTGCCATCCCCCAGAGATAATTCCTGACTTGAGCTCTATTCATAGCAGATACTATCAGAAAGTACCTGGGATTGAGAAAGTATGCTGGTAATCCACATACAAAGGAGTCAGACTAGAACCCTTTTGCAGCTGCTCTTCTGTCTTCTTCCTCACGCCTTAGATGCCAGGGTACAACAACATTATAAAAACCGTGTAGTGGCTCAGGGGAACAAATCTCACTTGAGTGCCCAAGCAGGAGATGGCTTGCCCTAGTAGCACTTGTGATCTATGTCTGTATATCACCTTTCCACACCTGTGTGTGCAGCCACATAAGTGCAAGTCACAGTCACAGAACCTTTTAAGTCATGTCATCCCTGTCTGCTTCCACTTACTGTTTGCAATCTGAGTATAAAGCCTTGACATTGACAACCCTAACATTTACCTTCCATGCAGTGCTTGATGATAATCAGACACAATTCTTAAAGTCTGTGCTATGCCCAGGCAACCCTGTTGCCATGGACAGCTGGGGACAAGGCAAGGTGCTGCAAAGAAATAGATATATGAGCCTTTCTTTAGGCATGACCAAGAAAAACTGTTATCTCTTTCCAGCAGTAGTGGGAACAAATGCTTGATCCTGACGTGCTTATTTTTTTTGTGGTGCCTTGGGGATGGCAGGAGGGGACTGAGCACTGTTAAGATGCCATCCCTCACCAGCTCAGCATTGTCAGGGAATGCAGCAATGACTGTTTTTTCCTGGCACCCCGATCTATGTCAAGTGACCAAGTGACAAAGGAGAAAATCCTCTTGCCTCTGGACTTAGATGCAGTTGAAGCATCACTCTTCTGGGAGGTTTCATGGGACCCCATGGGAATCTTTCTTCCCCTGCCCGAGTTCTCTTCATGTTGCATATTTATCTCTGTCCCATTATCTTCTTTCTGTTGTGCTGAACTCTAAGAAAATACTACACTCCTCACAGCATAATTGCAAAACATCAAGAATTTATTAATTTCCAAGTAGTGTAGAGTCTAAAGTTAGGAGCTGTCTTCATGTTTCTTCATTCTTATTTTAAATCAAGCAAATTTATATATATGTTTTCAGACATCTGTATAAATTATGCAACCAAAGTCAGGGAGAGTTTCTTCTCCTGTTTACACACAATATTTCCAAAAGCACTCGGAAAGATTCCCACGTTTCTTGTACTGTTTCCTGTCCTTGGTCAAGAAGCGGCCCAGCAAAGCAATTCGAGGATGATTGCCATAGAAAGTCTGGAAGTCAAACAGCATTAGAGAAGTTACTGTTGGATGGTAAATGTTCCCAGTGGAAAAGCATGTTCTTCACTGTCCCAACTGATCACACAGCCCTGAGTTCTGACTGGGGGAAGGAGAGGCAGCTGCCCAGTGTGCCTTCTGATTTAGATGATGCACTAAAACTAGTCACTGTCTTCTGCCTTTATATTTGATTCAGCAGACAAGTGAACAGAAATTATCTTCTCCATTTACCTAATGGTTCATAACAAATTTGATTGTAGTAGGGGAGGAAAAATGACATGCGGCTAATACTGATTAATGTACTGGCCTAGCCTGGTGAAACTGGAAATTGGCCTTTATGTAGAAAGCTGTTTCTATGGGGGAAAAAAGCGGGGGGTTTAGAATGAAATGTTCTGCATTACCTGCTCTTTTTTTTTTTTCTTTTCTTTTTTTTTTTCTCCCCTGCTTATCTAACCGGGAAGTGATTCCAGCTTCAAGAACACTGCAGCATACTTTAGTCTGTACTATTTATGAAGTCTGTGCATCTTAAATGATGTCTCAATAACATTTCTGTGTAGTTTAAAATGTGGAATCTTATTTTTCTTGTTTCAGTGACAGATGGTCATTTACTTACGTCTTTGATATTTTCCCTTGGGTTGTAGCTACTGGAGCGATGACCTGGTAGAGGGGAGACATAATGAAATGTTTTACCATTTAGAAATTGTGAACATACATAAATCATTATTGTGTGCTGTAATGTTATAGCCAGCAGCAGTCTTGAACTGGAGTGTTCAGATGACCTGACAGAAAACCCTTTTGCTGCAACACAGCCATTTCTTCATGTGGCACACAGTTCCAGCAGGTTCTGTGCCTGCAGATGCAAGCTGTACTGTCCTTTTCAACAAGCATCTGTTAATGTCTGTTGTTCCCCAAACTATCTATTACTATTGATTCTGCACTTTCTGCAAGTATTGATGTTTTTTTAAGAGACTGCTATTTTGTTTGGTCTGCTAGCTCCTTCTAAGCCAATTTTTGCTCTGTTGAGGTTTTGCTATACGGAGGTTTTGCTATACTAATTTGGAGAATTTTCCAGCTAGTATTAAGCTGCAAGGATGGCTGCCCTGCAGGTTTTCCCAAAGTCTTAGTTAACTAAATGACAGCTGTCTATTGCCTACGCATAATGTTGTATTTCAGTAAATACCCAGGAGTCAGGGAACAATATCTGTGGAAGCTGGACATGCAAACCATAGGCACTCTTCCATAAATTGCTGTAGGTAACCCTCACCTGCTTTCTTGTCTTCAGTCAGTGTGCCCAAGAGCTCTGGGAGAAACTGAAGCAGGGAAGTGCTTCCTAGGTTGCCCAACCGTTCCAGATTTAATCTCGAATCTTCATCAGCTGCAAATGGAAGATAACAGAACCAGCATACTGTAAGAGTCTTTTGCTCTGAATCCCTGTTTCATCCTGTCTCAAATAATTTCTGATCAGGTCTGTTGGCCCCACCTGTTGAAGATTATAATGAAATCACTAAATCATCCATCCTCATTTAATGAATATAGTAGAGGATAGTTGGGGGTATTTTTTTCCTTCCAAAGCTTTTAAAAAAGATACCTTCCTGATGTTAATCTGATTCTCATTTCTGTGGCAGATCTTTAAGAATGTTTTTTGATCAACAGCAGCCCCTTCCATTGCTTCGGGAGCTCAAAACCTAATCCTTCTGGTACCCAACTGTAGACAACCCAGACTTGTATATAATTTATTTCCTTTTCTTAGTCTATTTCTTTATCAACTAGTTTCTATGCTGGAGCTTTTCTATGAATAAAGACAAAACGTCCTGTTCAAGGCCTATTAACTGGCTCACTTTCCCAACTATTAAATGCAATGAAATGGAGGGAAGGGCAGGAATAAATGTAGGAAAACTTAAAACGTATTTTGGCAGTTGTGCTTCTCTATCGCATTTCAGTCATCTCATTTAACATGTGTGCCAGTACAGATATTATTACTTTTTCTGAAGCATCAGATTGCTGATACCTGATGGAATTTATTTGCATGTGCATAGAGAATTCTGTACCTAGCCTGTGCCCCAAGGCAGCTTGCCAACAGGAGCCCCTAGTGGTGTTACAGCTGAGGTAAATAATGTAATCTGAGCAGTAAACTTCATCTTTGCTAATATATAGCAGACATTCAAAATTGTAAGCAACAAGAGGATGCTATTATAAAACTCTAGTTGCGTAGATGAATATCGTTTTGTAGTTGCACTTTTAGATGTTACTATGGAGTTTTAGTTGCTCTTACCTGCAGGGATGGGTGAAACGGTATAGCTCCACAATAGGGAATATATAAGAAAATAAACTGCTGAAAATTATCCCCCACTATTTCAAAAACTTTGGCCAAGATCAAGAACTTGAAGACCTTGGACATCCACATTGTTAGTTTTTTCACTGTACAAAAGGACAATTGCAAAGGACGGTGGGGATTTCAGTGTAATACTCTGAATAAGAATACTGTAATTTCCCTGCGCTATGTGGAGACAATTCCTATCTCTAGACTTGTATTATTTTTTTAATTCAGAGAAGTATTAGGTAAATTTGCTTTGAGATTTAAAAAAAATCCCAAAACAACCCTCTTTAATACGGAGTTCTTTCTTACCCAGCCTAGAGACTCTTTATATCAGCAAGAAAGATTTAATAAGCCTAATGGATGTCTTCAAACCAATGCAGTAATTGTTAGAGCCAGCTTGTTCACCCTATGATGTGATAGATGCTATCCATACTGAGTCATGGTTGCCTGTAAATGCAAGTTATGTAGCGGAGGAGATGCTGGCTTAGTGAGTCCAAGATTTTCAAAGCAAACTAGGGACTACTGGTACCTATATACCAGCACAACAGCTGTTGCACCTGCAAAGCAAGTAAGAACAGCCACTTTTTAATAGTCAGCTTTATGCAATAACTTTGTGTTTGATTTGCCTGTTCTTTCAGAGCTCATTTCAGAAACCCTTTGAGCACAGGTCAGGTCTGATGACAGTAACCTTCCAGACTCTATTGTGCATTTTTACTGAGTCATTTCAGTCTTGACTTACACTATAATTTAAAACTTTGAGGACAGCTTTTTCAAGTAAAGACTTATTCTTTCACCGGACTGAATCAAATCTGCATTAGTGCAAACAAATAATATGCTCAATACATTGCTATTTTTTTTAGTGTAAGACAGACTTGCATGTTCTTGATCTAAGTAGGACTGCATTAATCTTTGCAGTAAGTTTTCCACTTTTTAAATATAACTTCAGTTAAACATAGCTCATTTTCAAGCGCAGCAAGAGGAGAGGCCATACAGCCAAGTTTCTTCAAACTACATGATGCCTACTAATGCTGCTTCAAAGACGGATGCTGTATATTAGCCCACATTCAGGGTTAGAAGGCTCAGATACCTTTGTCTCCTGGATCTCAAAGCAGCAGGAAGAAATATGTAGGGCACCCAACCTCCCCATTTTACAAAACTAGCACTGACTGGTGATGTCACTTGTGCTGCTGGTGTTCTGAAGACATTCCTGCTTTTTCTACAGCTGATCAGCACAGATAAGGGCCCCTCAGAAAGCATACCTGTTTCTCTTCTGGTTTTACTGCTCCAGCCCCTGCTTTATGACCATAAAAATCAAAAGACTCTTACCTGAGAGTTGATAAGACATCTCGCTGGCATTGATGATGGGGAGAGACAAGAGAGGACAGGAGACGCTGATAATAATGAGACAGCAGAATACCAGCTTATGCATCATAGCTGTAGTGAATATATTTCGTCTTTGCCTACCCCTGTAACTCAGAACTCCTGTCTGACTGTTGCCTCTGCTCCCAGTTTCACCCATTATATAGCCGCTCATGACCTCATAAATATCATCATGTTCTCTCCCCCTTTCAAAAAAAAAAAAATTGAATTAATTTATTGCTCATTGATTCTAAATGGAAACCACTTTGCATTGATGTAATTTTTCAAGGTAACCGTTCATAGACAATAAATTTTCTGTCTTATAGCTTGGTGTACAAAATGGATATTATATCAAACCAAGCACAGTAAAGTTTATGAATCTGGCATTAAAAAAAAAAAAAAAGTAACTTCCAGTTATAAATCATGAGTTAACAAAAGGGTCAGACGTTGGTTGAAATGACCAGGGCAATAAGACAGCTGATTTATGAGCCTTAGCAGTCTTGACGCAAAGCATCTGATATGAAATGCACTTTTTTTTTTCCCCCTTTTGCGAGATGGATGGATGTGTTGTGTTGTATTTGGGGTTGTTGTGCCAGGAAAAGTAAAAGAGAAGGGGAGTTAAAACATCTAGTTAATTTACAAAGAGAATGTTAGGGGACTTCAATTCCCCCCCACCCTTGTAGCATTTCACATCTATTTATTTGAGAAGACCTCATCCGATGTTGCCCTAGAGAATTGTCTTGGCAGAGAAAGTACAGCTTCCATCTGGAGACTTGCTTGGTACATATAAATTGCTTTGGTTGATATTGAACACAGGTCCCTCCTTAGACTGGGAGACCCCTTTTCCATTTCACTTATCTTCTTTTTCCCTCAGTTGGAACTAACTACTTAATTCTCTATGTGCTACCTGGTCAGCCTGGACTGACTGGGCTGGTCCCTCATCTCCACTCTCTATGAAGCATCACATCCAACTATATAGAGATTTGAAAATAAAAAAGTAAGTTTCTTATAATTTTCTTTCCTTTAGGTGGTGAGAAGATTATGCCTGTTTCAGGTTCGTAATAAATTGAGGTTCAGTAATTTTCTTTCCTGCCTCTTTGTGCCTTCAAAATACTATGAAATCCAACTGATGTTACTAAAGTTCTTTTCCTGTGCTGAACTGCATGATAATTGTAAATTGAAAAATAAGTTAACTTATCTGCTTCCTTTTTCCTTTATTAACAATTCCTATTGAAGATAAAAATTAATCTTATAAATTTTGTGGCTAGTAGGACTAATTTCAGTTTAGCTACATTGGTCATGTAGAACAGACTTATTTCTGCTGCAGGTCTAATTCAATGAAAGCATGCCCCACACATACGTGATTAACAGGTTGTCCAGAAAAGCTGTGGACTCTCTGGATCACAGAATGGTTGAGGTCAGAAGGCACCTCTGGAAATCATCTAGTCTAATTCTCACTGCTCAGGGTCAGCCACAGCAGTGTGTCCAGTCAGGTTTGAATAGCTTCAAAGATGGAATGGGACAGAATTTCAAAACTAAGCTTGACAAGGCCCTGAGCATCCCCATATAAGTTCAAATGCTTTGCTTTGAGTGCAGAGGTGGGGAGTGGAAGAGGTGAGAGAGGACCTTCAGAGGTCCTTCCAACCTAAACTTTTCTATCATCCTGTGTGTACAGAGAGGTCTAGTATTGACTTATAGAACATATGCTGCAGGTGTCTGAACTACAAATCCTGTTTCTGTGGACTTCTCTTTGCTGAAGTGAGTGGCTATGACAGAAGATTTTCTCTACAGAATTAACCTAATATATCTTATATGCCTTTTTCCCTGTGCTTCCCTATAAGAGAAATAAGTAGCTAGAGAGGAATTCTCTCTGAGTCATGCAACTCTTGGTTCCAAAACTGTCAAGAGTAATTAGGTCCAATTTGATGCATGATCTCACAGTTGGTGCTGGATGCTCTGTACAAATGCTTCTCCTTCAGTGAACTATCAATGACAATGGCGTTATCAATATTCACTCTGAGCATCCTCCAAGGAAAGCTAATGAAGCACTCTTCACAAGCAACTTCTGTCCTTTGTCTTCTCTCAAGGAAGACTCAGCCTCCTAGAGCCATCATAAGTGCGTCATGTGGAAGTTGGGCAATATGCCCACAGTTTATTGCCTATACCGAGATTTGAAGTTGTCACTTAGACACACTTCACTCTACCAAAATGTCAAAGGCATTTTCCTCAGGGGACAGTGCACACGTCATCATGCAAAGCAAAGAAACAGCTCATCCTAAACAAAGGTACAAAACTCTGAATACATGGGTGAGGGAAGTAAATGTGAATTACACCTTGAAAACTTGGAAATTGATTTGTAAGAAACTGTTCTAAATTTATCAAAACTACTATTTTGTGGGAAGACTTTTTGAAGTTCTTATGCTAACAGACTTTCTTTCAAGTGCTTCAGTTTAAAATAACAGCAGAGCAGTACTCCAGATAAACTACTGAGCAAACTCGGAATACTAAGTATATGTTACTCAATCATAAAAGATTATCCTTAATTATCAGAAGTAACAATGATTCTTTGTTTAAAAGGATGGCTTATGAAGAATAAGTTGCTAATGAAGTCAAGAAAACTTTTTTTAAAAAAAAAGAGATATAACAAAATTGAACAAAACCAGCCCCTCAAATTATCCACCTTTTGAGTAAAATAGTAAGTATGAAATCTAATCTATAATGCAAAAGTTTTTTCCCTTGTTTTAAAGTGCTTTATGATAAGTAAGCACGAGTTGTTATTTTAGTCAAATATTGTGACATTTGGTGAAAGCGGGAATTTCAGGGATGTTGTGCTCTAGCAGTAGCATTTGTATGAGGGATTTTTTCCTAGGATATAACTTTTGGTGTGACTTTTTGGCTTGAATTTAGTTTGCATGGAGAGTCAAGCAGTAGAATGTTTTTGTATTGACACTATAATTGCAGATGAGCTTATTATTATATAAATGTCATGCTCTTCCTTGCATTCTACTAGACTTTTTAGCTTCTTGTTTCAGTGAGTTATACATGTTGGCTGGTGTGAGAGGAAGAAATCACATGTAGTGTTATTTACTTCCCTGCTAGGGTCTAGCATATCATTTAGGTGTTTTGGGGTTTTTGCTTTGCTTTCGGTGCTAGTTTATCAGATATCTGTCCTCATTAACACCTAAGTATTTAACTTTAACCTAAAATGTCTAATTTTAGCTAATTATTCAGCTTCATAACATGATTGTTAGATCTATTTTGCATACTGAAATATCTGCCTTGTGAGATCATATGTGCAATAAGGCTTTTTTCCTGCCACTAGCTTACATTGCCTTATGTATATTCTACATTTTAGAGTGTACTGAAAATAGCTTGTTGGGAGACTCAGCAGATCAAAGGAAAAAAATAACCATAACTTGGGCACTTGCTGTTAATTTCCTTTTTTGAAGATGATGCTTCTGCCCACTGGGTGCGAATTGCAGTGTAGCACATGGTATACGTTCTATATAAGCAAATAGCGCAACATCATGTATTTGGGTATGCATAGTACTATTCCCGTCTTCTAAATCTCTCTCTATGTTATGTAAGATCTCTGAGAGGTTCTGACCTAGGTTTTCTTGTTCTGTGGTGGGCTGAAGGTGCATAGGCGAGTATGTGTGCTTAACTGAACACATACTTCTGTGTAAATGAAGATGGCAGGTCCATGGGCCTTTCTGAAGATACTTTATTTTGCTACAGAATTGGCAAGTGGTCTAAAAATTTTCTAGTACAGGATGACAGCTGCCAAAACACTGCTCCTTTGTAGTATAGTTTCCAACAGTTTGGTGGGAGAAAACCCTCTTGATTTTTTGGCCCTGCTGGGCTGGCACACTGTAGTCTGGGTATATTCTCCAAGTGAAGCTTGACTAAACTGGTCCTTAATTCCCCTGTCCTCTCAGCACTACAGAATTAGCAAACTGAAGCTTCACACTGTTTGACATGAAGGAAAGTAAGTCTGGCATGACTGGAGCTTGGAAATATAGCACATCAATATCTTATGGGAATCGGATTCTGGATAATGTAGCCGCAAACAGAGGAGCAGAGACCAGATCTTGAAATAAGGTTTCTTCCACAAAAAATGTAATGGAACTAACTATGCAATTACAGTTTATTTTTAAAACTGAAATTAAGAGAGCAGACAGTATAAGAAAAGAGAGGAATGCTTCTGCAGCAAGAACAGAACTTCCTTGTTACCTTTCTCCTGCTCTCCCAAGGTATCCCCAAAAAAATCTGTTCAACTCTAATAAGATATTATGATCTGGACAAAAACAGAATAAAAACTTTATCTCATTTTTCCAGACAGCACACTGCACAGAAAGGAGTACAAAGCAGCCTTGCTGAAAGGCGTAGGCTGTTAGTCAGAGACTGTCCATGATTAACACTCTCATTTCATCAATCCCAGCTATAGAACAAGCTGGAGACATGGGCTTCTTTTCTTTGGAGGTGCATGTCTGCTTCTGCAACACTGCTGCACTTGGAACCAGCAAAAGTTTCCAATTTGGGCTGCTTTGTTGCAGAGACATCTTTTGTGAGACATTTTCAAGGCCAAGTACTGGATTTTTAGAGACCTTCCAATAACCCAGAGCCTTCCAAATCAGCCCTGATCCTAGGCGCGGGGCACCGATCCTTTCCTTCCTGGTGTGGGGAGTGTGCAGGGAGAGAACTGTCGAGAAAGAACTGGAATAGGTGAATGCATTTTCCTCCTTGGTTTTCTAGGCAGGACAAGGTGAACTTTTGGGCGGCTCTTTTTCAGCATCGGACCAGTGCGCCCCGTTTTCCAGGCTCCGCTGCGACGGGCGGCCCGGCGGCAGCGGGCGGTGGAACCGCCGCCCGGCAGGTGGCGCTGGGGCGCCTGCGGAGCGCGCGAGCGCGGGGCTGGGGGGGGCCCCGAACCCGGGGGGCGCGCGGCGGCGGGGGGGAGCGGCCGGGTGCGCTTGGGCTTGGGCGGGGGGAGTGTTACATTTTTCTCTTCTGGAAAAGGTTTTATCTTCCTTTTTTTTTTGCATGCATAGATGTTTCGCTGCTAAGGAGCTCTTACCTGCTTTTAAAAAACGATTAACAAAGGTCAAGAGACACTTACTCTGGAGGAAGCATCCATCTCCTGTATTCCT